ACCTCACTCGACGAAAAGAAACGAAATAATTGCTAGACACCGATTTCCCGTGAGGCCATGGCATCACGCTGATCATGCCAGCCCATACATACTATGGCTCTCTCGCGGCAAAAACATTATAATAATAAAGAACAATTTCACTCCGGGAGTGCCGATAGAAGTGAGAACTTATATACTTATAAACAGAGGTGTCGGTAACGGTAACAGTATCGCGAGTTCAATTCTTTTTTTCCCAACTCAAAGAATGCCCAACGCGCCGAAAGAAGTTTTCGTTTCAATGATAATTTCGGACATCTGACACACAAGGCCATCTTGTTTCAAACTAAGGAGAGCTTGTACTATGAAAGCTATATTGACTGATAGAATACTTATATACTTTTTTTGTAAATACTTAGAAAACACCCAAACTCCGAAACAAATACTTGCAGATCATACAAACATTGGTCTGACCCTGGAATCGAACCCTAGACCCCAGCACAGCACCTAAAACTGCACCACCGAGGCAGTATATAAAAACCTTTCATGATGTTTTTTTTTTATCAAAGACAATATATATTTCAATTAGCTATTCTTTTTATTAAACCTTTTTCTTTCGTTTTTTTTTGTAGTGTATGCTTTACATAAGTAGTAAGTAGAGTCGATTACAACAGTGTCAAATAATAAAACACACAATTAAGATAAGCAAGTTTTACTACTACTATGATTAAGCAAAATGGGGTTAACAGTCTTGTAACCGAATCAACAGCGCCGTACAAGCTTATAATTGTAAAACATAAAACAGACGCAGTTGTGAGATAATTGTATCAATAAACCGGTCAGGTACGAGTCGAACTCGTGCGTCGAGGGTTCCGTACCTACCCAGAATTTTAACGTAGATTTTCGCGATTTTTTTTGTAAGTACCAAAATTTATCTTAATTTTCAACTTTTTTTATTTTTTAAAAGTGATCTTATAAGGGTTCCTTTATTACCTTTTGAGGTACGGAACCTTAATAATGAATGAATGCCACCCGGTCTTTAAAAACTTTCTGAGCATATATCGGCCATTCAATTACGAATCATTTGAAAATAATTTTAACCAAAATCAATTAATGTTATGTTTTACCAATGATATTTTAAGGAACATACGTTATATTCACACTGCACGCACAAACTATTTATATTAATATTTATACATCTATTAATGCATTTTAGAACAAGAGTGAGAGAGCAAGCATAAGAGTGAAAAAGACAGCTATCTGTAATCAGTACAGAAACAGAAGGCACTCTATGAAGTTTTTCGAATTAGTTTTGTGGTCCTAATTACCCGCACGCTTTATGCGGTGGTGGCGTATCTACCTCTTGTATGTATATAATATCAATGTTTTTTACTCTATATTTATGTGTACATTAGTATTTTGTATTAAGTATACATTTTTTCTATGGCATAGGGGATAAACCAGCAGATATTTCACCTGATAGTAAGTGAAACCCATCGTCAATGGACACCTGCGGCTCAAGAAACTTCAGTGCATTACCGTCTTTCAAGTGTCTCCCTCCCAAAATTAAGGATAGTTGGGCCTCCAGTACCGCAGCAAAAAACAAAAAAAACATTACTTGACACCTGTATGTTCTGTAAGGATGGGTGTCGATAGAGAAATTAAAGATGTTGTTACATCAACGATCTGATTTATTCTCCAGTAAATACAATGGTGATCACTACTTTTATCTGCAGATATTACTACACTACAGTTCTCAGTGTTTATTTACCAAATAATAAATGTATAAATAGTTCTAAGAGAACATTTGAAAGGGCTCTAACAGCAACTGAAAATTAACAGAAGCTGAGACTAGCACAAGGACAGGACTGTCTGAACTATGAACAAGTTTTGTCCCATAGCACCTCGACAAAATTGAGCAGTGGGCTTCTGGCCTACTCCAACGCTAACATATAGAAGAGCAATCTTGCGCAAACAGTTCCATAGTACCCTGAAAGCGTCTAGTGATGTTACGTTACTTATACAAAGATCTAATTGATATTAATAAATTTATTAATTATAGCAACCTATAACTGTAACTAACTGCTATCAATGCATTCATCATAAAACTTCTGCCTCCATCAATATGTCTTTATTTGTACGACTTACTCGTTTAAGCTGGCGTTTGTTGTGTGTCTGTTTAGAAATGTGTCTCTCTGTGTGTGATAGGTTCTATGTACCTACGTTTGAGTTCTATGTGTGTGTGTTTTATATAACTTCATACATAAATTCTACTTTACACCTTAATTTACAATTTTTAACAGTTAATAAATAACTCGCATTATGTTACACAGATTTTCATTGTAGACGTTATGACAGTTGCTGTCAGTATTAGTAGAAACACATTTGGCGAGATATGTCATAGCTGCTGTGACGTATCACGCTAAATATGTTACTACAATGAAACGTATACTTGACAGCTATACTATACTATTTCGTAAATCCACATTGCTGCAACATAAATGTGTGCGGGTACGTATTATGTCTCATTGTCGCGTTTCTTTACGGTACACTAGCATTTTCACATGAGTTAATGCAATACACGACAAATCGTCTTGAGTAATACTGGTCCAACGTTAACACTGTTTTTGTGAATAAAATAAACATTGAACAATATTATTGTGGCTGTTTCCTTAACTTGTATATAGTTTTATGAAATATAGACATACAAAATTAATGATATGGCTAATATTTTTGGTTGTTTATTATAGAACCTTAAGATTGACTATTAAAATTTTCTTACCAAGTTGTAGTTTGTAAAAGTGGAGTACAAAATTAAAGTGGCTTAAAAAGCATATTGGATACACATAAAAACAAAGTGTACGAGTGTAAACAAACTTCCAGGATAATCAATGAGGTAGTTAGGTAGTAGTACAATATTCATTAGAAGTATCTTACTACGAGTCAGAGTACCTGTTGTAGTGAATATTGTAAATGCTTACAATATTCATTAGGAGTTACTCTGAATTGTTTAATAAAGTTTATACATACTTTACTTTGTTTTTTCCAAGTCTACACATTGAGTGGAGCAGCAACACTAATATACCTATTCACGTCACCCCACCGGGCTTTTTTGTGGGGCGGTGTGTCTCGAACCGACTAAAACCACACGATCAGCTTATATCAATACATCCGTAAACACTGATAAACTGTACTAAATACCGGATTGTTCAAGCATAGACTATTAACTTTGCTAACCTCCTAAGGTTTAGTTGCTTTCGAAAAACACAAAATAGGGTTCTTTAATTCCTCGGTATTATGAAAATCTAGGATTACTTTTAAAACACGTGAAGAAAATATCATTACGATTTCTTTTTTATTTCACTAAATGGCTTTCACCCAATTTTTTTTTTTTTATACAATGGAGGGATTCTTACTTATGTCATCCTCCAATATATATTTAGAATGTACAGTTATTTTTGAAACTACATAAAATAAGAAAAAAGCCTAGTTAAGGAAAAGAGGATGATAGTGAATTTATAGGCAACTCAAGCAGAGAAGCAAAGCAAGCATTCTGCCTACCTCACCATAACAAGTCAGCAGTCTAAGATGAGAGCAATGAAGTGAACATTTACAAACGCAACTTCCACTATATAGCTATGTCTTTACAATAATTCCTTTTTAAAATTTTGACAAATTTAGTACCACCTCCTGCTCTTATAATGAAAATGGATAATAGCTAAATTATACATAAATAAACACATAATTAATAATAATAATTAATACATAATTAACTATTTCTCCTTTCTAAGGAGAGGCCTATGTCCAGCAGTGGACTAGTATAGGCTGTTGATGATGATTGATGAAACACATAATACATATTTTTCATGCATTTTATCATTACAACTTTTACTTTATTGCAATCTATTTTCCAAATGGCAATACGTTTTTAAACATAAGACGTAAATAAACCACGCACATAAGCAGTTAAGTTGCTTCCTACAACCACTATTATTTAAACACTGATCCTTCCAATTACCAGTAAGTAAGTAGAGAATTATACCAACACACATGCAATATAAGGCCTTCTGAAAAGGAAAAACATAATTGAATCGTGTTTATAACTGACTAATAATAACAGAGATTTGGTACATTCCTAAAAGTATGAACATAACCAATTTGCTCAGAATTAAATAGCTTTGAAGATTAGTTAAATTATTGTAAAAAAATAAATTACACCTGAGCATAACTACACTTGTTGAGTTTGAACATACTTGTTACGCTGATGTATATAATATGATAAGTACAATGATTTATAAATAAAATGATCCTAACAAAAAAGTTACTACTCAATAATGCATGTCACGGCATTATGACTAGTGTGACAAATAAAAATATCATTTTATTTCACCCAGGGACTTCTAAATCACGGCTTCTTCGCAAAATGTGTATTTTGCTCTTGGTACACATCCCAGAACAAATATATTGCCTAACGCACACTTAAGTAGTGAAATACTTACTTTAGCTTGTTCCTATCCTAGACATGACATACGAGATATTAAATTGTATGAATAAAAATAAACTTGTTACCCGCAAAATAATATTCATTTAATCCGTTGTCAAATTCGCCTTCTAAATAAAAGGTGTCTTGGCAATGGTAATGCGTTGGGGTTCTTTAAAGTTTCTTTACATTGATTCTATCCTATCCTATTAATATCCATTGTCGACTGGCACGTGTAGGAATTGGGTACTCTATTTGTAGTTGAATAAATATTTTTTATTATGGCACATAAATAAATTCTAAATAAAGTATATGTTGTTTCACAAGTCAGCCACATCCGCTTTTCGTTCCTTACCTTGATGCATACTTTTACACATTACGTTAGGTTAGTAACTCTGGGAAATTGATCAATAGATTTTTGCTCCAATAATTCCCACAATTATTACCTCTATATAAACTAATGAACTATGGCGGAAAGCATTATTGTCTTTTAGTGTTCAAGGCAAGAGCATTTTCAACTTAACGTTTTAGTGTTCAATTAAAAATGTTTTCTAAAGTAAGTTTTACTTCGTTCATTATTGATCGATTTCATTAGTGAGTTCGACTGTGTGTGAATTTTCCGCGTTTTTTTTTTAAATTAAATGAGGAGTTACATTTTTGGTCCTTTCTGGTATATTTTTGATTGCCCGAATCTTGCGACGAATCTTTTTCATTTTCTTTTATGATTCTAATACAATCCACAAGGTAATACCTTATTGTTAGGGTAACATAGTAATATAATCTAACATTAATATTTTTGGTTGTTGATTAGAACACCTCTTTTTAATATATTACTGACCATATCCAATCCATATCCATCCATCAAAACCAAATTATTAATTGAGAAGTAATCATTTTGATTCAGTCTTTAATTAAAACTCTACCATCTATCGAAAAAGAAATCAGTCATGAAAGTTTTGTCATCAAAATTTTAGTAACTTGCGTTAAAATCTTGAAAGTTTGAGTAATTTTTTAAGCGCCTGCACCAAAAGGGAGGTTATGTTATTCGAGTGAATGTATGTATATTTCTTTGGTTCGTTCTGTAGGCCAAACAACCTGATAGATTTTGGCTTGAGATTTGATTAAATTTGGTTAGATTTTGAGAACGACACTACCCAGTGTATAAAAATCAATGTTTTCACGCGTCAGTGTTCAAAATCGAATTGTAGTTACAGGTTTTCTGTGTTATTCTGTGATATCATTCGTACAAGCTTTGATCATGAACTGTGTAAAAACTATACAAGAGATTTGAGTTCTTGAGATTTCAAATTGATATGTATTTAAAAAAACCTAAAATGTGTAACACATAACACAAAAGTCAAATGCACAGTGACTTTTGGCTAGTTCTCTATAGGTTGCAGTTCGATTTCTATTACCTGCTACTTGTCTAAACTCTATACTATTTTTTAGCTCACATTATATTACATCCAACATATGTAGTTTCGATCGTGTATTTTCACCCAGTGAGTGTGGTACTCGTAACCGGAGATAGTACAGAAACTAGTTTCAATTTAGGACTAAATGTCAGATTCAAACAATAGATGACTTCACTGAATTTCATTCAACCAAAAATTTCATTAAACTCAGTTTCATTAAAGAAGAAGTACACTATTTCCTGACTTATTAAATATGTAAGCTACATATTGCAAAAATATACACATAAGAATATTTAAATATTAATAATATTGTAGATTGTTGTAAATATATAAGGCTTACTTTAAATTTATAAATATGCAGTTATATGTGTTAAAAGGTAAAATAGTTTAGTACACAATATTTTGCCTTACTGCCTTCATTAAATCATCAAACTTTAAATAGTCTGTAACATTATTTAATATTTTTACAGGTATTGACTTTGTGTGCATTGGTGTCAGCCTGTAAGGCTGTTTTCCCACTTCATCACCACCTTCATCACCACCCAGCGGTGTCTCACCAAGAGGTGCACAAACACAACGGACATCACCACCCCGTGCCAATACACCACCCAGTAATTCACCACCAGCCAATCGCGCCTATTCATCATGTACCACTGATTCATCACCAACCACACGTAGCTCCTATTCAACATGTAACGCACTATGACCACTATGTAAGTATAATATAACATTGCACTCAAAAACAATCTTTAGTCCCTTGGGCAAAGTGAAGGTTTCGTTAAATGTTTGACTTCAAGTGTTCCTATTTTAGATAACGTAACTTTAAATATAATATTATACTTAGGCGGAATGGAAACAGAACTTTATAAAAGTTTGCAAACAAGAATATATGACACCAGAAGCAAATGATGGCTCGTGAGGCAAGTCTTATGTAGGGTGGACATTAGATAGTGAGATATTCATATCTACTATATGCCTTACCCTCCCTAACGAGAAAATCCTCGCTAAGAAACTTCATTTCATGCAGAAATTATTCTTTACGGGGATTTCCTCTCTAGGATGATCCTGAGAATTGAATAATTTTAGACAATGCGAGTTCTGTATATGATCTTACCGTTTGAACCTAGTGAAATAACTTGGGGGTTTGTAAATAAAAAAGTAAAACTTTGCCATATTTAGATCCGAAGGAATAACTATCCAGTAATCTCGGCGCCTATCAGAAAATAAGCTTACGTTTATAGTATAATTGGATAATTTACTGCATATTTTTGGCAGGCGTTCCCTGAATATAAGTTTGAATACTCCGTCCATGACCATCACACCGGAGATGTGAAGTCCCAACACGAACACAGGCACGGTGATTTGGTAAAGGGAGGATATGAACTCGTGGAACCTGACGGCAGGCACAGGAAAGTTGAGTACCATGCTGACGACCATACCGGGTAAGACTTCCGCACTTATTAAAATGTAAAAAGTAACTTAGCCCCGAGGGAATTCAGTTTAAGATTGCCTGATGGAGCTTCATTATGGAATGAAGACTGCTCACAAAAAAAACTATGCATGAGTAGTGCATGAATAAATACAAATTTTACGATTGTTTTTATGCAAAACTAATCCATAAAACCAATTGATTCCGTTTGATTCCCAATAAAGATATAAAAAAAACTGACAAAACAATCTCTGGTTCCATCAGCTAGACTCAGTTTAGATAGCTAGCTTATGTGTATTATTAGTATAATAACTTATTACCGAAGATTTGTACTACTTATAATAAACTAGGCGAACTAGTAACAAAAAAGTGCATATAATTATGATAATTAAACTAGCCTGGTTGAAGATTTATTTACAATTTTCGTCGGTAACATTGTTGTACCTACTCCGACGTAGACTGATTAAATAAAACATCTGACAAAAAATCTAACTCTTTTAATAGGGTTCAGTAAGTTAAAATAAAAGTTAAATCCTGAGATTGTAATCTGAGCATATGAAAATCGGAATGTAAATTGTGCGTCCGGTTCTTCTTCTCATAAACTAAGTTCTATAATCCCTTGGCGTTGTAAGAAAATATAATATAAAATTTAAAATTAAGGAACTTTGATTTACTGTTGTACTCAGTATTATACATCATCGAAAATATTTGATTACACCTCCAGTCTCACTATATTTATACAATTAATAATCAGCCAAATACTCGTAGTGCCATGCTGATATGAAATAGTTTTTGTTATTCTCAGGCCGTAAAATATCTTCTAGATTAGAGATTTAAAAAATCAATAAACAAAATAGTAAACAAAAGTACACATCTGGTACTTCTTAGTGATCATTTATATACTATACTTACTTATTACTTGAATTCTAATTAACTTGTTTCAGTTTCAATGCTATTGTCCATCACTCGTCACCTCATCATCACGTCCATTTTGCTCAACACCACATCTAAGATATGCGGCTACTTCAAGGTGACTACTTGAAAATCTGGCAAAAATTGAGACGCCGTATACCGCTTACCTTTTGTACACAATCAAGCAATTTAAAGTTATATTCAACTCAAATATAGTAGTGCAATTTTTTTAACAAACCTTTTATTTTTCATACAATATGCAACTACCGTCAACATCTGTTTATCCTTTTGCTAACTGCTACAAAATTAGGCAAGGACAAATTAATAACAGTTGCCGCGTTGTTGGACGATCGAACCAAGTAAGACATTTATTTGAAAAAAACATTATTTACGAGAAAATAGATATGCCAAACAAACTTAAGGCAATTGTAACATTGTTTAGGCACGGATGAGTAACCTTTTTTTGTGTGGAAAACCCCTTTGGGTTGTCACCCCACCGAGGGGGAACTTGCGACAGAGCCGTGTGTTGGAATCAAACTGAATAAAACCATTCGGTGCGCCACTCTGCGCCTGAAATAAGAGGGATCCGGACCCCTCCTGGCGCCTGCTCACAGGCGGCTACCTTGGGGTATCTCCCACTTAAACGACATTCAGGCACCTCCTCAGACATCCTCGCAGTAGGACGCGACCCCGAGAAAACATCTGTTCCTACCAGTGGTGTCTGAGTAACGTTATTTAGGTTCGCTCATATCGTAAAATAATTATCTTATTTTTAATAGTTTTGGTGGTGCGGTGTGTCTCGAACCGACTAAAACCACACGATCAGCTTATATCAAGACATCCGGAAACACTGATAAACTGTACTAAATACCGGATTGTTCAAGCACAGACTTTTAACACTTTGCTAACCTCCTAAGGTTTAGTTGCTTTCGAAAAACACAAAATAGGGTTTCCTCATTCCTCCTCGGTACTATGGAAATCTTGGATTACTTTTAATACACCTTTTTTTCCGTGCGGCAATCCCCTCGGATACTACCTATCAGTGGTATGTCAGACTCGAACCGACTAAAACCGCACGCCGTCTCGGGTACTAATAGCCGGGGAACCAGGTATACGTCTTCGTGTATTGGTCCTGTACTCACCCAATTAATTTATTTTATACAATGGAGGGATTCTTACTTATGTCGTCCTCCAATATATATTTAGAATGTAAGGTGACTTTTTAAAACTAAATAAAATAAGAAAAAAGCCTAACTAAGAAAAAGAGGATGATAGTGAATTTATAGGCAAGTTAAGCAGAGAAGCAAAGCAAGCATTCTGCCTACCACTCCATAACAAGTCAGCAGTCTAAGATAAGAACAATCAAGTAAACATTTACAAACGCAACTTCCACTTTATAGCTATGTATTTATGGATTACATTAATTCGTTTTTTAAATTTTGACAAATTTAGTACCACCCTTACAAAAAAGTAACTACTCAATAAGGCATATCACGTTCAAAATCTCATTTTTTATAGCCCAGAAACTTTCAAATCAGGGGCCTCTTCGCAAAATGTGTACTTTGCTCTTGGTACACATCCCCGGCAAAATACATCGCCTAATGCACACTAAAGTAGTGAAAAACTTACTTTAGCTTGGTCCCATCCTAGACATAACATACGAGATATTAAATTGTATGAATAAAAAAAATACATCGCCTAACGGTCCCTAAAGTAATGAAAAACTTACTTTAGCTTGGTCCCACCCTAGACATAACATACGAAATATTAAATTGTATGAATAAAAAAAATACATCGCCTAACGGTCCCTAAAGTAATGAAAAACTTACTTTAGCTTCTTCCTATCCTAGACATGACATACGAGACATTAAATTGCTTGAATAAAAAAAATACATCGCCTAACGCACCCTAAAGTAATGAAAAACTTACTTTAGCTTGTTCCTATCCTAGACATGAAATACGAGATATTAAATTGTATGAAAAAATAAATACGTCTCTTAACGCACACTAAATAGTGAAAAACTTACTTTAGCTTGTTCCTATCCTAGACATGTCATACGAGATACTAAATTGTATAAAAAAATAAATACATCTCTTAACGCACACTAAATAGTGAAAAACTTACTTTAGCTTGTTCCTATCCTAGACATGACATACGAGATATTAAATTGTATGAAAAAATAAATACATCTCTTAACGCACACTAAATAGTGAAAAACTTACTTTAGCTTGTTCCTATCCTAGACATGACATACGAGATATTAAATTGTATGAAAAAATAAATACATCTCTTAACGCACACTAAATAGTGAAAAACTTACTTTAGCTTGTTCCTATCCTAGACATGACATACGAGATATTAAATTGTATGAAAAAATAAATACATCTCTTAACGCACACTAAATAGTGAAAAACTTACTTTAGCTTGTTCCTATCCTAGACATGACATACGAGATATTAAATTGTATGAAAAAATAAATACATCTCTTAACGCACACTAAATAGTGAAAAACTTACTTTAGCTTGTTCCTATCCTGGACATGACATACGAGATATTGAATTGTAAGAATAAAAACATACTGGTACCCGCAAAATAATATTCATTTAATCCGTTGCCAAATTCACATTCTCAAAAAAAATAAGTTATGAAATTGTTGTCATCAAAATTTTAGTAACTTGCGTTAAAATCTTGAAAGTTTGAATGATTTTTTAAGCGCCTGCACCAAAAGGGAGGTTATTTTATTTTGAGTGAATGTATATATCTCTGGTTCGTTCAGAAGGCCAAACAACCAGATAGATTTTGGCGCGAGATTTGATTAAATGTGGTTAGATTATTAAGAATGACACTACCCAGTGTTAGTTTAGGACCTAAACCTGTACCAAAATTATAAAAATCAATGTTTTCACGCAGTCAGTGTTCAAAATCGAATTGTAGGTACAGATTTTTCTGTATTCTGTGATGTCCTTCATACAAGCTTTGATCACGAACTGTGTAAAAAATATACATGAGATTTGAATTCTTTCTAAATTAATTCAATTTGATATATATTTAAAAAAAACTAAAATGTGTAACACATAACACACAAGTCAAATGCACAGTGCGTATGACTTTTGGCTAGAAACAAGCACATTTTAAGAATATTATAAATAAATGTATGGTATAGATTTTTGCAAATAAATATATATATATATATATATATATATACAAGATTATTACATTGAATGATTTGTGCTTAGCATTTTATTGTTAAATGTAAATTTGCAAAGGTGTTAATTGTTATGGAAATTATGTAAATTGTCTCGTATCTCTCAAGGTAGTTAACATAAAATAGCAGATGCTGTGGACACATTATTTTTGTATGTACTAGATTAAGACATTATGCATATTAGTTCTTAAGACGTTATTGTACAGTACATTGTTTGTGTTCCTTAAAATAAATAAATAAATTATTGATAATGCAAACTAATTTCAATGTCTTTTTTTGTTAATACCTAATAAAATTAAATAGATGACAAAGCATACCTATTTAAAGAAAGTTTATTTCTATTTACATTATAAAAAAGTATTTTAGTTAAATACAAACATAAATAATGCTATGATAGTAATAATATTCTTTGTTGAATCTTTTTTAAGTTTTTCGTTCAAGAATAAAGAAAGCTTAATACACCTTGAAATAAATAAACCCCCCAAATAACAGGGATGCAAGCAGAAAGGAAAACTTTCACGTTGCATATTTTTCAAAAGTAACGTCAAGTCGAAGGGCCTGTTAGTCTAGTGGCAAGTGATCCTGAATGCTAAGCCAGAAGTCGTGGGTTCAATTCCCAGCCAGGACAAATAAGTGTTTGATGAACACGATCATTTCTTCTATGTCCGGTTGTAAATTTATTTATTTATTTCCTTTAAAAACAACTATTATTACAGGTTTAGCCCAATGCAATAGTGTTATACCATCTACTTATTTATTATAAGAAATAATTCTTAATGCTGTTTATTGTGAATTCACTCAGTGAGCAATAAAATAAATCTATTTCATCCGCAATTATATTCAGAGTACGTAGTAAATATTAAATTAGTAAATAAATATTATATAGTAAATTATCGTATGTATTTAGTAATACATAGGTAAGTATGTTTATCAGCAGTCTGTTTACCATAGTGCAGGTGTATGAGGTGTGTAAAAAAAGAAGTCATGTTTCAAAAGAAACATAGTAAATTTACTTCTAAATTATAACTAAGGGATATTTTATCAACCTTTAACAAGAACGACACAATTTTATACCCCTTAATGGTGTACTAATGAAGAGTCGTAATGAAAACTGGGTAGCTCAAGGATCACCTAGCGCGTGAAAGATAACCGAAACTTTATATCTGACGGTTTATACTCTCTAAAACATTGAAAGACATAAGAAAACGAACAGAATATATGAGACTTATCATGGAGTTATATAAATACTTTCCGCCTTTGTACATTGTTGGAAAATAATAAAGAAAAATAACAAAGAAAGGTGACATTAAGTCGAACCAAATTCAATATCACTCTTTTATAATCAAATTGCTAAGTGATTACGATTCGAAAAAAATTGCCTATTTAAAATGTAAAATTTAAAAAACAACTGTATAACTCATAATACCGTGTAGACAATGTGCATGTGTTGACATGTAAACTATCGTCCTATACTGGTTGAGCCTTTTGAGAAAAAAATGCCTTTAAATCAATAAATATTTACAACAATATTCAAAAAAATTATAATATCTTTTAAGATACAATAATAGCGTAAGCGAAAAATGAATTATCATTATTGAAAAGAAATACAAAAGAAAGAGACACAGGAATCCAAAAAACATATTAGCTCACATTACATTACACCCAATGCAGTTTCGATCGTGTAACTTCAGCCAGTGAGTGTAGTACTCATAACTGGAGATAGTACAGAAACTAGTTTAAATTTAAGACTAAATGTCAAATTCAAACAATAGATGACTTCACTGAATTTCATTCCACCAAAAAAATTCATTAAACTCAGTTTCATTAAAAAAGAAGTACACTATTTCCTCACTTTTTAAATATATCAGATACATATAGCAAAAACATTCACATAAGAAAATTTAAATAATAATAATATTGTAGATTGTTGTAAATATATAAGGCTTACTTTAAATTTATAAATATGTAGTTATATGTGTTAAAAGGTAAAATAGTTTAATACACAATATTTTTGCTTACTGCCTTCATTAAATCATCAGACTTTCAATAGTCTGTAACATTATTTAATATTTTTACAGGTATTGACTTTGTGTGCATTGGTGTTAGCCTGTAAATCTATTTTCCCACTTCATCACCAATTTCATCACCACCCAGCGGTGTCTCACCAAGAGGTGCACAAACACGACGGACATCACCACACCGTGTCAATACACCACCCAGTAATTCACCACCAGCCAATCGTGCCTATTCATCATGTACCACTGATTCATCACCAACTACACGTAGCTCCTATTCAACATGTAACGCACTATGACCACTGTGTAAGTATAATATAACATTGCAGTCAAAAACAATTTTTAGTCCCTTAGGCAAAGTGAAGGTTTCGTTAAATGTTTGACTTCAAGTGTTCTTATTTTAGAAAAAGTAACTTTAAATATAATTTTATACTTAGATGGAATTGAAGATAGAACTTTATAAAAGATGGCAAACGAGAATACATGACACCAGTCAGTACTTGGGGTTTGTAAAGAAAAAACTTTCCCACATTTAAATCCGAAGGAAAAACTATCCAATAATCTCGGCGCCTATAAGAAAATAAGCTTATGTTTATAGAATAAATAGTATAGTTATCCAACCTTACTGCATATTTTTGGTAGGCGTTCCCTGAATACTCCGTCCATGACCATCACACCGGAGATGTGAAGTCCCAACAGGAACACAGGCATGGTGACTTGATATGAACTCGTGGAACCTGATGGTAGGCACAGGAAAGTTGAGTACCATGCCGGGTAAGACTTCCGCACTTATTAAAAGTAAACAGTGGCTTAGCCACGTGGGAATTCAGTTTAAAATTGCCTGATGGAGCTTCATTATGGAATGAAGACTGCCCACAAAATAACTATGCATGAGTAGTGCATGAATAAATACAAATTTTACGATTGTTTTTATGCAATTAGCAATTATGGATTAGACATAAAACAAGGTATTTGTTTGCCATTTAAGACATGGAAAAAACTGACAAAAGAATGTTTAGTTACATCGTTTAGACTCAGTTTTGATAGCAAGCTTATGTGTATTATTAGTATAATAACTTATTTCCGAAGATTTGTACTACTTATAATAAACTAGGCGAACTAGTAACAAAAAAGTGCATATAATTATGATAATTAAACTAGCCTGGTTGAAGATTTATTTACAATTTTCGTCGGTAACATTGTTGTACCTACTCCGACGTAGACTGATTAAATAAAACATCTGACAAAAAATCTAACTCTTTTAATAGGGTTCAGTAAGTTAAAATAAAAGTTAAATCCTAAGATTGTAATCTGAGCATATGAAAATCGGAATGTGAATTGTGCGTCCGGTTCTTCTTCTCATAAACTAAGTTCTATAATCCCTTTGGGTTGTAAGAAATTATAGATTATAAACTAACGCAATAAAAAATAGTAAAATTAAGGAACTTTGATTTACTGTTGTACTCAGTTTGATATACCAACGAAATTTGAATATTTGATTACACCTCCAGTCTCACTATATTTATACAATTAATAATCAGCCAAATAGCGTCACGCTGATATGAAATAGTTTTTGTTATTCTCAGGCCGTAAAATATCTTCTAGTTCTAAAACAAAAATAATAAACAAAAGTACGCATCTGGTACTTCTTAGTAATAATTTATATACTATACTTACTTATTACGTGAATTCTCATTAACTTGTTTCAGTTTCAATGCTATTGTCCATCACTCGTCACCTCATCGTCACTTCCATTTTGCTCAACACCACATGTAAGATGTGCGGCTAATTCAAGGTGACTACTAGAAAATCTGGCAATAATATAGACGACGTATACCGCCTACCTTCTGTACATAATCAAGCAATTTATAGTTATATTCAACTCAAATACATTAGTGCAATTTTTTAAACAAATCATTTAGGTAGAAATTGTTTTTATACAATATTCAATTAACGTTAACATCGATTCATCCTTCTGCTAACTGTTACGGAATTAGAAAAGGACAAATTAAAATAAGCTGCTGCGTTGTTGGACGATTGGACCAAATAAGACATTTAATTGATAAAAACATTATTTACGAGAAAATAGATATGCCAAACAAACTTAAGGCAATTGTAGCATTGTTTAGGTACGATAGCGATAGGTACGGTACCAAAGAAGGTTACTCATCCTTTTTTTTTGTGCGAAAAATCTGCGAAATATAGGTAAAACATCTGTTCCTGCCAGTGCGGTGTCTATGAAACATATATTTATCATTTACTAAGTGGTATTATTTAGGTTCGCTCATATCGTATAATAATTATCTTATTTTTAATAAAATATCAAATGGCAAGTCCGTAACCAACCGATTACATGGTTTTGTAGTACATTTGATTTCAGCACATCAACAGCCTTTAACAGTCCACTGCTGGACATAGGCCTCTTCTTAGAAAGGAGGATTTGGCCTACTATACCACGCTGGCCAGACGGGTTGGTATAGGGTTTGTGTCAAGTTTTTCTTCTCTCTGCAGTGCTGTTGACCTGCGTAGTTCGCTCCTGTAGTCGCCTCTTACGACACTCACGGGATGAATAGAACGGATTAAGAATACAGAGTGTCACCACCCCGGTGACACTCTGTATTCTTAATCCGTCACCACACGGACGTATTGATTTGCATACCAATTATTATAAATAAAAATAACTAAAAAACAAATAATATCAGACCACTGAATGATTAACGTCATCCCTTCCATGTCATGTCATGGTGTCCATAATATATATTCAGTTTTTTTTCATAATCAGTCTATGAGTCTATTTTGTTTTTATACTATTACTATTATTTTATTAGTTATTATATTTCAAATACAATGTAATTTGTTGATGAATAAATGAGTGACTATCATTTTAAGTCACCCTGTATGTTACTCGCTGATTATGCAGCCTTCCATTGCTTAAAGATTTTTTAAAATCGGTTTAGTGATTTAGGCACGAAAGATGACAAGCAAACAAACTCGCTGTCACATATATAATATAAGTATGGAATTATAGAGTACTTCAAGGTTATTTAAAGAAGAAGTTCAGAAAGCCAAAAGGGGTTATAACAATAACAAGAGAAGCGAAAACTTTTTAGTTTACCTTTTATGATATGAAAAGCTACAATTATATAAAAATATGATTATAACACAAAGATTACATAACGAAATATAGTACTCGTAATAATTATGTAAGTAAAAATTATGGTCGAAGTTTAGCCACCTAAGTAGATAGCCAGATAATTTGAATCTCTAGTAATGGAATCTAGGAAATACAAATAATCATGTTTAGAAGTACTACTTCTCAAGCTCACACAAATTTTAATAGAGAATCATAATTTCTTAACATCACTTACGTCCAAATTATGTGTGCGAAAAAAATCATTAGTCCGAAATAGCATGTTAATTTCAAGAGTAGTAGTAGATAATAAATATATCATGAGCTCATGATACGAAAAGTATTATTATATTTTACCAAATTAAATTATTAGCGCTAACGCGGTTACAATAATTTCGTCTGGATGAAAGGTGGTCTATGTATGTCTATCTCTATGACCCTTTAAACGTTCAACAAAATTTCGTGAAAATCGGATGAAGTTATTAGACTGTGAATACAAATAATATTAATAATAACATACTAATAGACCTACAAAGTATTATTTGGTTCAGTACAAATCAGTTACTGAATTACCAATTCAGCATTTGAAAACACACGTTAGAAAAATCAAATATAATTGCTGCTAAGTGTTATTGTACAGGATACACAAGTATTAAGGTAAAACGATATCTGTATAAATACTTGACCAGATTACGATACATTATCAAACTAGCACAGGTTTTCTACCAAGATTCACAATGATTTGGAAGGTAAGATTTAATCTTAAAAAAATATTTGTTATTTTCATTACTTTTTATTATTTTGTAATAGTAATTTCATTTTTTGAACCATATTTCTTTACCTTTTCCGAAACAGGAACTTCTTTTTATACCAACCTAACACTTAAAACTAATAATTTTAGTAAAAGGTAGAATCCGAGACCTAATCAGTGATGGTTCAATCATAGAATATTAGGCATTGGTTCTGAAAGCTATGCGTCCATCTATTAAATGTTATGTAGCCAGTAGTCATGAACTATTCATAGGCACATTAATAAAGGTAAACGATTTAGAAAAGCGGTTTTTAATGTGAAACATTATTAAGTACGTTTTAGCATGTTTGGTTATTATTACGTCTTTCAAGAAGAAGATTATTACGAAATTGTTAAACCTTCAGTGAAAATAACAATTTAATTACAGGCTGTAATTCTCTTAAGCTTTGCGCTAAATGTGCTTGGCAAAGAAATTGCAACATCGGAACAACACGTTAAAATAAATCATAAGAAGCATGATGGCCATCACGGTGAACTATCGCACATTGGTTCGAAGGAGCTCGAGCATCATGAAGAATACGTGAGTTTTACCAACAGTTTTATAAATAGGGCACATTAGTCTGGTGAAAATGAATTAAATAACATATCTGGGTCCGTAAAGTATACTGATGATTTTGAAAAATTTGATTAATTACTATCCTCAAATTTTGATTTAAGGATTCATAACATTATTGAAAGTGAAATATTTTTACGATAGAAACGTTTGAAAGTATAAATTGTAATTACATGCTAGTTTCGAAATTTAGCAAAAAGATGCTTCACTGTCTTGGCAGTCCACTATTGTCGTAAAACCAATCTTATTAAGTTAACAGTAAAACGTGGATGACGTTGTAGGCTACACAATTAATAAATACCTATCAATTTCAAGATGAAAATTGTGTTACTATTTGTTTTCCGAAAAAAAATATAATTAATGGGTTTATTTGGTATGTGTCAAAAAAGAAATAACAATGTCAAAATATTCAGTATCTAAAGAAAACTATCATTAATTTGATGAGCGAAGTGATAAATGATAAAACATAATTTATTACAGGCATGGGCGTATCCGTCATATGAGTTCTCATACAAAGTACATGATCCCCATACACATGATATGAAAGGGCAGGAGGAACACAGAGATGGTGACAAAGTGAAGGGCGAGTATTGGCTGATAGAACCCAACGGTCACAAACGCACCGTTAAGTATCACGCCGACAAACACAGTGGGTAGGTTTCGTTTAAATGTTATTTTTAATCAATAGTTAAACTATTTTATAGTACATTACGTGTAAATAGATGAAAATCTTATCTAGACATGTTTTTTTACCTAGTTTCCATGCTACCGTCCACTACTCCGATGATTACCATCATCACGAACACAAGGAAGAAGAAAGTAAAGAAGAAGAGGAAAAAGAAGAGGCACATGAGGAAGAAAAAAAAGAAGAAGAACATTCAGATGATAAACAAGGTAAAGAAGCTGAAGAATCACATGAACATGAAGAGAAAAAGGTCGCCGAAGAAGGTGAAGAAGGGAGCAGCGATGGTGAAGAAAGTCGTGGTCATGAAGAAATAGGCAAATGGATTCATGACCATCACTGGGGTCATCGCGGTAACAAGCACCACTATGAGGTGAAGAAGTATGATCATCATGATGATGATAAACACTACCATGGACATAAAAATGCGCCTTACGCGAAGGTCTCACATCTTGGACACAGATACAAAGCGGGCCATAAAAATAGTGAAAACTATGACATGTTCACTGGATTGGGCAGTTACGAAAATCGACATGGCCATAAAGACTATCACGGTGATAATGAAAGGCATCAAGAAAGTCGGGCCCGAGCAGCGTACCATGGATTAGATGCCCCACATGCACACAGACAAAGCAAGAATAAGGCTATTGTAAGAGAAAACTACCTTCATCCCCGTTACTACAGACACAGTCAATTTAATAAAGCCGAGCAGTAACGTCAATGTTTCTTTAAATAGACAAGTCTACATAAGCAAACGCGATTATGGCTTTGTGCTATTAACTGGTATTAATTAATATATTGTGGTAAAGGCTAGGTTTATCCCTATTAAAGAAGTGAGTGTTTAAATGACTCAAATGCATTAAATTGTTTTATTAAAGTCATATATACCCAATAAACTGTCACTAAGACCAGATATATAAAGATTTTATTTAGTCGGAGTAGAGACTAGATATTAATCGGAGGATATATGGTTTTTTTTTCTACAACTCGATGTCCTATGCGTGACAATCGACTATAAAGTCATAAATATCGGCTTAGTGCCCAATATAAATGTTCCGTCTGGGTAAAGTAATACAAATAATATAAAAATATGTACTAATAAAAGACCACGCTGTATAAGTACATATTTTTATATTATTTGTATTACTTTCTAAGTATCCATGTTGATAACTGGTGATCTCGATAGAGATAACTGAGGAAATAAAACACATAAATACTGATATCGGGATATTTTGCTCTGAGAATTTGGGACACACACACCTTTTATATATATATATACATTATATGTAAGAAATATTCAGGGTAACAAATATTATTACTTAGGAACTTTTATTGCTACTTTTGATTAAATTTAGACAAAGTGTTCTGCATATAGTGTATGTACTAGCTTTTTCTGCAGAGGTTAATTCACATAAATGAAAATTTAATCAATCATTGTTAGTTTCCTGCTCGAACAGTTTTAATCTGTTTTAATTAAGCACTCTATTCTTTTCTGTGCCCCTGACAACATGTATGCAAAAAACAAATAAACATCACAGACCCAAGTGTCGTGCATGGGCGGCAGCGAATTCTAGAGCGGCGTCGAAAATCATGACTTGGGTTTCTGCCAAATATATGTATAGACGAATATACCTTTTTATTCCTATGTATTTCATATATAATTTTTTTGTATGTGTTTGATTTTAATAAATAATGTTAATAATTGTATCTAACCATAACAGACCAATAAATTGTCTTTAAACACTAAATATAAATGACTAAACTCCTATCTGCATTTAAAGATGACATCTCATATTTAACTGACAATACTATTAAGGCTTTGTGGCACACTTTTAGAATGTAGAATGCCCATTGCACCCAAGAACTCGAACTATACTTGATGCGACTATGACCCGGACCCAAATCTAGCGTCAAGTTGAAGAGAGTTATAAAAAAGCCTTTTTTTTTTGTTTTTTTTTTTTTATATAAAAGACAACTCCCGCATTAGGAATATATCCTGTGTCGCGGGGGACTTTACAAACATACATGAAACGGACACAAAGAACACCCAGACTCAGAACAACAATTTGTGAATCACACAAAGTGTTGTCCCATGTGGGGTTTGAACCCACAACACTCGGCGCAGTAGAAAACGGCGTGGCGACCGCTTAAACAACTACGCAACAAAAAAGAGATTGAAAATCTAATGTAATTGTAGACTTTCTGTTCTTATTACTCCAAATCGTAATGAATAGTGGCTGTAATTGGCTAAATGTTTCGTATTTTTTAGAGTCTTTTTGATTACGAGTTCTGACGCGGAACTAAAGCGGCAAAAACGGCTTACAATATCAACGCAGCATTTGTTTTTTGGTTTAAACGCTTTCATAATTATATTGGTATTGGTATTGGTTGTGGGCTTCGGTTTCCGCTTTCGTTATGGAAACTTCGACTTAAAGAACACCGATTTGAAAGAAATGGTAGAAGCTGATCCGAGTCAAACTACCCAGGAATTAGTGGCATGGTTTAACGTTACCCTTTTTTTCTGTGCGGAACTCCCCTCGGATACCACCCACCAGTGAGTGATTATGTCAGACTCGAACCGACCCAAAACCGCACGCCATCTCCAGGTACCAATAGCCGGGGAACCAGGTATACTCTAGAAACGAAAACCCTGGTACCCCGACGTACCTCGGGCCATCTACGGCTGATAGATGACCCCTTCTGTATGGGAACCCGGATGTCCCTTCCTGTCCCCGAAGGCGTGCGCGCTCTGTAGCGCGTCGCGGGGCCACCCATCCTGGCCTGCTTCTGCAAGAGTGACAGATGGCCTCACCTGTCCCCCTCAGGCCTGCGCTTATGAAGGACGGAGGACGTTCTGCTACCTCCGGTGCCTAAGCCCTCTGTGGTACCTGCCCGTTCCCGTGCCTGGCGGGCCGGGTGAATTCTGAACCTCGCTCGGCACCGCTCCGCCATCTCCTTTGCAAGCATAACCTACTCGCAGAAGGAGACGTCGCAGTTTCACGCACTCTTGCTCCGTACCATGGCGGAAATCATGTTACCGAGCGAGAGAATTGAGAATAATAATTCGCTAATTTCAAAAACATACATTGTGCTTGTGTGCTAACTTAGTTGTACTGAATAATAGATAACTATGTGACTATTATTGTATTCTGATACTACTGTTTTCTTAGTCTTCAAAAACGTAGAGATTTTAACGGCACGTCGTTAGTAATGTTACCAAAGAAATCTATTCTCCATGAATGTATATCTAGCATGTATTCCTAATCTTTATTGTCTTCTTTTTTGTCAAAGCGTACCGTCAATCCTCGGTTTTCAACCCAAGTTTATGATCAAGGGTTGTAGCGTGATGTCAAAGAGTCTTTAATCTTCCTCAAGAATACAGTTATTAAATAAAATTAATTTTATTCAAATTCAACTGTTGGTTCAAGAACTCAAAATCTTCAGCTTCTTCACATTCATTAGTGCTTACATGCATATGCATTATGTTAATAAAGTGTGTGTTATGATTGTAGTATGTATCACGATGTCTGTGTGTGATCGTGTGTGTGTAGGGTGCGTGTCTCTTTGTTTGTTAGAGTGTGTGTGTGTAACCCTATATGCTTGTGTATAGTAGCGTCAGGCACCCTGATGCTAGTTGTTGGTTATTTTTGCCTTCTGCGATACAACCTTGATTGTTTGGTTTTTAAAAGAGTTGCGGTGGAGATAGAAGGAATCCAGTGAGCTGAAAGTTTCATTGTAACTGTCTGACATACGACTAAATGGCGACATTTTACTGTATTTTGTTGAGGTGAATGGGACCGTCAGTAAGCGTGTATGTCGAGTACGTTTGGGAGGCACGTTAAAATTCACACTGCCTAAGAGTTCCGGAGAGTCAAATCTATGTTGAAATATATCGTATAGAAATAACGTATCTGATATTCGCCGTCTATCTTCAGGAGTATTTATGTTATGATACATGCACGATTCTTCATATGACTTATTTACTATGTGAACTACTACTATTTACTATCTTCTCTATTTTATGTATATAAAATTAAAAGTATGACCTCCAAATAATGCTACCAAAGTGTAGGATGCTTCTTACATAAATGAAATATAGAACTTTGAGGCCTTATCCCTAAATGGTTTTGCTGTTTTGAATTACAAAGCCTAAATATTTGTAAGATTTACTTATAATCAAGTTGATGAACATAAACTTGCTGTCCAAAACCACGCCTAAATCTCGCACTTGTGACGTTCTAGGAATAAGTTCATTGTTTTTTTATAGTCGGGATGTAAAGGGTGTCTTTTCCGCGTGAATGTTATAGCCAAGCATTTCTGGGTATTTACAGTTATATTATTCATCAGATCAGACTGCAGCAACACGAAGTCCGCGCGGTTATCGATTCTGCGAAATAGTTTCTTATCGTCGGCGGTTTGAGTTCAGAAAGTGTTTTGAGTATGTTGTGAAAGTGTGTTGTGGTTTGAGTTCAGAAAGTGATTGACTATATCAAAAATGTAAATATGATATAGTAGAGGTGATAAAGGCTCCCCTTGCGGCACTCCGGAGGTAACATCCACGAAGTCAGATCTGTAAGCGCCCATCACGACGGCTTGGCGCCTGTTTCTTAAGTAAGATTGTAACCAACGGAGAAGATTGGAGGGGGTGTGAGGGGCGAACCACCATCTTTCGCCCCAAGCCAACCTCACCTGCCCGCGGTGCATCCTGCTGAACGACGAACGAGGCTCTGGCGACCGACCGATGGCGGTATATCCATCCCAACAGGCGTAGCTAAATACAACAGGCCGGTGACGGGCAGCAGCGTTACCGGTGCGACAAGCTACGCCCTGCGATCGCCAACCCGCCTGCCCAGCGTGGCGATTATGGGCAAACCCCTCCCATGCAGACGCAACAAAGGCCACGGCCCCCAGTTCCCGGCGGCCCCGCTATTCCTGGTCATGGTGGCGACCTCGGTAAAGGCGGGGCAGGGGGTGCGAAGAATCTCCGGGCTACGGGAGGCCACCACAACCGACTGACCCTGGCTACGTACAACGGACGCACGCTACGGCTAGAATCGCATCTGGCGCAACTTGAGGTGGAACTTGGGAAGATTAGGTGGCATATCCTAGGGCTATGTGAAGTCCGAAGAGAGGGGGAGGACACCATAACCCTCGAGTCAGGCCACCTAATGTACTTCCGCGAGGGAGACCAACAATCCCAAGGTGGGGTTGGGTTTCTGGTAAATAAGTCCCTATCTGACAACGTTGTGGAAATTTCCAGTGTGTCGAACAGGGTAGCGTACCTCATTATCAAGCTCACCGAGAGGTATAGCCTCAAGGTTGTGCAAGTGTACGCACCGACCTCGGCACATTCGGACGACGAGGTGGAGGATATGTACGATGACATATCGAGGGCCCTCCACTTCACAACTAAGACCCACTACAACGTTGTTATGGGTGACTTCAACGCTAAAGTGGGAGTACAGAATTGCGGCGAATCGGTAGTAGGATCCCATGGATTTGGAAGCAGGAATCATAGGGGGCAAATGCTGGTCAACTTCCTCGAACGGGAGGGGCTGTTTTTGATGAATTCTTTCTTCAAGAAACAGCCCCAAAGGAAGTGGACGTGGCAAAGCCCCGACGCTATGACCAGAAATGAGATCGATTTCATCATGACGGATAGAAAGCACATATTCAGAGACGTCTCAGTGATCAATAGGTTTAATACCGGTAGTGATCACCGACTTGTCCGGGGCTCTCTGAATATCAACTTTAAGGCGGAACGTGTCTGTTTGATGAAATCCAGGCTCCGACCAACTCGGCTCCAAGCCATGACAGGATCTGAAACGTTCCAGTCAAAACTGGAAAACCGATTCGCTGCCGTGGAAACCACAATCGACGTAAACCAGAACCTCAAAAATGTGGTTCAGATCCTCAGGGAAGAAGGTATGAGATTTTGTGAAATGCAGCGTAAGGGCAGGAAGTCGAAGCTTTCAGAAAGGACCCTAGGGCTGATGAAGAAACGACGTGAAAACCCACCTGTCACTTTGTCGGCAAAGCGGACTCTAAACCGAGAGATCAGTAAACTCGTACGACACGACCTCCGGTGCTCCAATACTCTTTCAATTGAAAGAGCGATCGAGCAAAATCGGGGGTCAAAAGTGTTCGTACAATCTCTTGGAAGAAGCCACCTGACAAAGTTGACTACAGAAAGTGGAGAAGTCGTTGCTTCGAAGCCGGCAGTCCTTTTGGAAGTGGAAAGCTTCTATGGCCGGTTATACGCTTCGCATGCATCTCGACCTGATCCCGAAAATGAGGACTCTAGAGCCACATTAACACGTCACTACACCGAAGACCTGCCAGAAGTTAGCATTGACGAAATCGAGATGGCTCTTGGACAGCTGAAAAATGGAAAAGCCCCTGGAGAGGATGGCGTTACAACAGAGCTGCTGAAGGCTGGGGGTAAACCCGTACTAAGGGAGCTCCAAAAGCTCTTCAACGCTGTCCTGTTTGAAGGGAGAACTCCAGAAGCGTGGAGTAGGAGTGTGGTCGTCTTGTTCTTCAAAAAGGGTGACAAGACCAGGTTGAAGAACTATCGACCCATATCCCTTCTAAGCCACGTCTACAAGCTGTTTTCGAGAGTCATCACGAACCGTCTTGCGCGAAGACTCGACGAATTCCAACCACCGGAGCAGGCTGGGTTTCGGAGCGGATATGGCACCATAGACCACATCCACACAGTGCGGCAGATTATACAGAAGACCGAAGAATATAATCAGCCCCTGTGTCTAGCATTCGTGGACTATGAGAAAGCCTTTGACTCGATCGAGATCTGGTCTGTTCTGGAGTCCCTGCAGCGTTGCCAAGTAGATTGGCGATACATCAAAGTGATGAGATGTCTCTACGAAGCCGCCACCATGTCCGTCCAAGTACAGAATCAGCAAACAAGGCCCGTACCATTGCATCGAGGAGTGAGACAAGGGGACGTTATTTCCCCGAAATTGTTCACAAATGCAATGGAGGACATGTTCAAGACGCTGCACTGGAAAGGGCGTGGCATCAATATCAATGGCGAATACATCTCTCACTTGCGATTTGCAGATGACATCGTCATCATGGCAGAGACGTTGCAGGACCTACAGCAAATGCTGAATGACTTAGCTGACACTTCTGTACGCATCGGCCTACGGATGAACTTGGATAAAACCAAGGTCATGTTCAACGAACATGTACTACCGGAACCGATTGCGGTACACGGTGCCGTTCTCGAAGTTGTTCAAAATTATGTGTACCTCGGGCAGACATTGCAGTTAGGTAGAAACAACTTCGAGGACGAGGTGAACAGAAGAATTCGGTTGGGTTGGGCAGCGTTTGGGAAGCTACGTCGAGTCTTCTCATCGTCGATCCCACAGTGCCTTAAGACGAAAGTCTTTAATGAGTGCGTCCTACCCGTCATGACATACGGAGCTGAAACGTGGACACTTACGGTACGGCTGGTCCACAAGTTCAAAGTCGCTCAACGTGCTATGGAAAGGGCTATGCTCGGCGTTTCTCTAAGGGATCGCATCAGAAATGAGGTGATCCGGCAGAGAACTAAGGTCACCGACATAGCGTACCGGATCAGCAAGTTGAAGTGGCAGTGGGCTGGCCATATTAGCCGCAGAACCGATAACCGTTGGGGAAAACGAGTTCTTGAGTGGAGACCGCGTCTCGGCAAACGTAGTGTAGGACGCCCACAGGCCAGGTGGAGTGACGATTTGCGCAAGATGGCTGGCAGGAGCTGGATGCGAGAAGCCCAAAATCGATCTAAGTGGCGTGCAATGGGAGAGGCCTATGTCCAGCAGTGGACTGCGATAGGCTGATGATGATGATGATGAGAAGATTACCCTAGCATTTAACTTCAATAATAAGGTATTAAAATACACTCGATCAAATGCTTTTTCGAAGTCTGTATAAATTACATCAATTTATGCATCACTTAGATTATGTACGATGTAATTGCTAAGTTCTGACAAGTTAGTATTAACGTGCTTTAATATAACCATGTTGCGATGACGGTATACAGTGCTGCGAGGCAAAATAAAGCTCTTCGAATACAACTTTTTCAAACATTTTGCCAAAATTATTAAGTAGTGAGATTGCTCTGTACAAACTGGTAACGGCAGTGACTCATAAAACCTCAAACTTGTACTGCAAAAAGTGTACTCAGAACATACGCGATTACAAATAAAAGCATAAAGTTTTAAAAATCTTAAAAAGAAGATCAAAAAGACGAAAACTATAAAGTTACCTACGTCATTTTGATGTTTGCATATTTAAAAACAGTCTCTATTCCATTTTTTTTTTCATTCCAGTTTAATTTAGGGGGCACCATTACCTCTGCAACTACATTTTTCTTTTCTACGATTTCATATCTATTATAATCATAATATATTCTTTGGTTAAAGAAAAGAATATAGTAAAGTAAAGAAACCCAAACCAATAGCAATGAACAACGTGCATTATAAGTTATATCCTGTACTTGATGTTTGTAAAGTACGAGAATCAATTCGTAGTTCGTCGTTCCGTATATATTCCAATTATACGTGAATGTTTCGTCATTATCTTTTTCCTACTCTTTTCCCAAATTTAAATGTGGTATGACGCAATTTCGTATTTGCTTTGTAAAGGGTTTCTGCTATTCCTTATTAGCCGGACGCCTTCCTGACTCTAAGTCTTCTCGGTGATGTTATTGTTTTAGGACGGGAAAGAAAAGAAGGTAAAGAGAAAGGAATTCGAATAATGCGGAGGAGTTGATTAGGAGTAAGTACTTAGAGACTTTGTAAAACATCAAGCATTCGAGAAGTATTTTTATTTTAAAAATTTCATATTTAAAAATAATGATAGTTTCGAAATTCATAACCATTCTTAATTATAAAGAGTGTTACTTGTCTACGTATAAAATTATATCACAATAACAAGTGAAAAAAGACTATTCACCATTCTAGAAAAAAAAAACATTTTACTTATGCTGTTGTGTGTTTACGCAGATGGTATTATGAAGAAAATGAGATTGGAAAACAAGAATACGGAAGTTTTTGATTTACACAAGTCTATCACATAAAACAATCACTTTAAATGTCCCTTAATTTCCCTGTAGATTCAAGTATTTGAAATTCAGTAATTTAAATGCTTTTATTACATTAGTAGCGAGATCCAAATCCATCTACTGCAACTCTCGTAATACAAGTTTATTATGTTTTCATACCACAGCCGTACCCTGGTAATAACAGAAGCTACCTAAACTATTCACGCACTTCGGATAGCAATTATTATTTCGATTATCATATTAAATGCACGGATGTAATGAAAAACTGAAGTTCCGTTGTATTGAAAACATTTAAGTAGGGATAGTTTGGATTATGTAGGAGTATTCTTGTGTAATAAATCAGTAGAATAGAACGGTAGTTGCAGCCGGCATATAAAACATACAAGATGCTTTTTGTAAGTCTAAAAAAGATTTATTGCAATTACATTTTATTTTACACGCAATTAGCTCCATATTTCTAACATGGAAATTTAATTTAGTGGGTTGATCCATGTCCCTAATATGTTTTTAGTCTTGCAATATTTTTTTACCTTGATCCAAACCACAAATTCCTGTGTCCTGCAACTAGGTAATCGTTGAGTTTTATACAAACTTTATGCGGAAGAAACAAACTATAAACCCTTTTTTTTTTAAATGTTTGTTAATGTCACTTTTTCTGTTTCTTTAGCCAATCACTATCACCGCTTTATTATTATATTTAAGATCTCTTCTTAATGTAAAATATGTAATGGTATGGTACTAACGAAATTTTTCTTTATACAGCTTCTATTTGTAGCGACTGTTTCGATCGTCTTTGCTGAAGAGGCACAAACAAATGAAGAACCAAAACCGGCGGAATCTGTACATGGTTATTCCTACAAAGATGGCTTGGAACTAATACGTGATCGCAATCGACAATTGCACTCTGAACGCTATCGGGTCCTTCATGAACATGAACATGGCTACAGTGACCACAACTATGATCACGAACATGGTCACGTTGACCACGAATATAATCACGAACACAGCTATGACCATAAGGGACCTATCGTTCTACGAAAGCCAGTCCCACTTGCACATGACGTAAGTTGAAGACATCATATACTCGTACTTTAACGTACATATACTTAAACTATCAATATTAGTTTTGTTGAACCTAGTCACAAAAAAATTCGTTTTTAACAATTATGTTTTCATTTTACAGGTTCATATTGATATTGAGGCTCAAAACAGGTAATTAAATTATAATTATAATGTATTCGGCTCGACCGGAGTGACACCAGGGTTCACATAGTACCAGATCTTAAGGTCGTAGCCGACTTAAAAGACTCCGCTCCCACTCAAACACAGTATGAGCATTTAAATGTGGACTTAACATCGTGCTCTATAGGCGCACTTTACGGTAACAACAGTAAAAAGCAGCTTAAGCGAGCTTTCCAAGCGCTGTCTGCTATTTGGTACTGTAAAGTGCGCACTTGATGTAAAGTCCATATTGAAATGCCTTTACTTTGGTTGGTGGATTCGTTCAAGGTGGCTACGACCTTTAATGCCAATTTTCATAATTACAGATTTAGGTTTAAAAAAGTTATGACCAAAAAACTAACATATTTGACGACCGGATGGCGTAGTTGTTTGGGTAACGGACTGCTATATTAAGGTCGCGGGTTCGGTTCCCGCTCAAGCCAAATATTTGTGTACATGAACTTTTAATGTTTGATTTGGTCTCTGTGTTTTTATGTATAATATGTATGTATTTACAAAAAAAAGTATATATGTATTTATATCAGTTGTCTAGTACCCATAGTACAAGCTGTGCTCAGTTTGGGACTAGATGGCGTTGTGTGAATGTGGTAGAATATTATTATTATTATTATAATTATTTGAAATGGCTGCCCTGTAAAATTCAATTGATCTCAGATTCGACACTATTCTACCACTATGACGAAACGATCGTGCTCATCACGACCCACGACCTCAAGCTCAGCAGTCAGTTAAATAATTGTTACGTCTATTTATTTATTACCTTTTCTCTTAACTTCTGAAAAAGCCATGACTAATCGCCACGTGATATTCATAAATGGAGCACCCATTCATAGTAAAGACAAATTGGTCGATGATGGTCATACATTTGGGTGATTTTAACTAATATAATTACAGGCTCCCATTAAAGTGAAGACACAAATATTTTTAACAATTTTTCTTTCTATTACCTATATAAGTTGTAGGGAAATAGTATTTACAATTTTCTATTCCCCAGTTTTTCTTAAAATTATATCTTAGTTCGAGAATCAAGCACTTTTAACTCGAAACGAAAAAACTATTTTTTTTTTCAGGATAATTGAGGATGTATACAGTCCGGACTACCACCAACCTACTTGGGTTTTGGACTATAGATACTTGAAGACAGGTGGCAGAGACTACGTTCGCGGTCCCGGTGGCCAAATCCTCATTCTGCCTAAAGGTGTTCGTAGTAATGAACATAAAGAGTTCCCCGATTTTGACGCCTACCTCGAGCATCTGCGGCTCAGCCGATTAGCGGAAGAGCAGCACAGACACCGAAAAAACCATCATGACGATCACCATAGTAACCTCGGTCATGACCATGCCGAACATAATCGTGACCATGGCCACGGACACGGCCAAACCATGTGGCGCAAATATTAACATATTATGCATTGCAAATGTTTTAGTATCACAAAACTGAAAAAAAATGAAACCTTCGTCTCTTTAAGTTGTGATAAAGTCATTTCTACAATGTTAATGTATTTAGACTATAGATCTATGTATATTATGTATGTATTTACTAAAAAAGTAAATAAGTATTCTATTAGTCAATCTAGCTTTCATAGTACAAGCTTACTGAGTTTGACGCTAGATGGCTTTGCGTGTCAGATGTCCAAATATTATATTATTATTATATTATATCTATCAAAAAACCCGTTCCTAGTAAATAAAATAATATTTAAATTCATACAATAAAATCATAAGAACTCATCAACTAAAATAGTCCTTTCTGATAGTATTTAAAATTCGCAATTTACAATAACACGGTACTTAACATAAAACTAGTGACTGGTACGGTCGACTGATCGGATTCGACCAGTTTAGGCCAAAAAATCTAGTTTCGGCCCGACTCAGTGTTCGTAAAGCGTCGTGCGTCGCATATATGGGTATTTGTGCAAATTAGTCGGCAAATGTTATTTTATGTTTTCTAAATAGTTTATTTGGTTTTATTATAATTATTTTAGGCTTTTAGTAAATATACATTTAAAAAATCAATTTTACATAAAAATAATTCTTTATTATAAAACTAAAAAAAAAACACTATTTAATTTACGATGAAGAATCCCACGTCTCTTCGGTAGAGCACCCTTAGTTTCACTCTCAGAATCGTCTACGGCAGATTCCTCATCTGAGGAAGTTTCTTCAGTCATGTGGGGCTCAACAGAAATCCACATTTCTAAGGCTTTTTTACTATGTGATAAAGATTTCTTTCATGGTTTTTGTCATTTCCATTTATTATATCTAGATTGCATTGCTCTCTAGAAAATTTTCTTGCTTAATTTTGCCGTTACAGTCGAATGTGTTTATTACCTGGGGTTTGTTATCAGAGGAGGCAGCAGAGTTGCCTCCTCTGATAACAAACCCCAGGTGCCCCAAGGATTAAGATTTTGTGCATAGTACTAGTACTGTACATTGTACTAGTGTTGTTAATAAAGTGAAACGTTAATTCTAATAAGACGTTTAAAAGTGATTTTGGAAGTTACTTGAAGTTCCCATAAAGTTTTCTCTTTATGGGTATAAGTCTGCGAAGATGTACATAAACTTATATCCTTGGCACCCCATGACCAGTCAATCAATCACTTTTAAACGTCTTATTGGAATTAACGTTTCACTTTATTAACAATTCATGTTTGGGTGTTTTCTATGTATAATATGTATTTATTTATCACAATAAAAGTATATAAATATTCTATCAGCCAATCTAGCTTTCATCCCAAGAGCTTGCACTGCTTAGTTTAAAACTACATGGCGTTGTGTGTTAGATGTTCGAAATTCGTGTCACCTACCGACTGACGCGGGTACTCACTGGGCATGGCTGCTTCGGTGAGTACCTGAATCGGATTGGACGCGAAGAGAGCAGGAGAAGAGGAGTATAATGCCAGCACTGCACAGCCAACTGACTGACCCGCGTGGGCGTCTGAACGCGAAGTCCTGGTCGAACAAGTCGGACGAGACCTGCCCCCCAGCAATCATTGCTACTATGTGAGGAGTGCTGGGGCGCAGTGGTATCTTTCTTTGAAACTGTAATGCTTAAGAAAGAGACCATAGAACAAGATCGGGAGAGGGCCGATCCCGAGCGTAGAGGACGTCGCCGGCGATACCAGCCGTCGACGGGGCCGCGGCCTGCTAGAGAGAGACCTCGGCTGGCAAATTAACTGCTGCGCTAGGCAATAGGATGGTAGCCTGGTCGCGAAAACACGCTGACTAATTACGAAATTTCAAAAGCTACTTGGGTGGCCAAGTGAAAGATGAAACTTGTATGGAGTTAGTTTATGGCTAGAAGACCTCAGTTTATCAGTAGAAAACTTTAGGGCTGGATTAAAGATTTAATTGGCCTTAAAATGTTTCATGACAATATTAGCTTTTTAGGGACCATAGAGAACATCGGCTAAATTTCTGTAGAAGTTGTGCCCAATTTTTATTTTCTGCTTACAGAAAAAAAATATAATGAGATTAGATTATTTTCATGTAGTAAACACTATCCTGTCTAAAAATAACATATAAGTAACCAAGATAATTCGTTCTCAGAGTTTTGAGCGACCTTGTTTCTATTTACTTACCGTAATATGATACATAGTAGATCAGATAATCACCAAAAAATACCTTAGGAAAGAAAAAAAGTCTTGACAAAAATATATTTTTACTCGTCATTTATCATCGTCTCTCAAGTGTTCTTCTACCTACTAAGCAATTGCAGCAGTATTCGACTATAGCTGTTATTTTTTATTATTACATAAATAAACTATGTTTTTCCAAAATGTGTCTGTAATGTATGTGTGAGTGGATTTACTTTATCTCATAACATTAAGTTCTCTACACTCCTTCTCAAGAGATATCCTAATCCATCAATATTTTCTGTACATATTTCGAAAACATAACATTATTGAGGTCTATAACATCTGATGTTCCTTTTTACGCATTTACGCAAAACTCTGATGATTAATTAATACACATGTACATAAATATTTTTATGACGAGAATCAATTAAATTAAATAATCTCCAGTTGATTTGTAATTTACTTATATAATTAGTCGAATCACAAAGAAAAATTAGAATAATGATAGCAACATTTGATTTTTGAATCGTTTTATAAGCGAAATGAAACGTCACTAGGTGCGTTCTTAATATTATCTTAATAATTTTTGACAAAAGGAACGTTTATTTAAAAAAAATGTTTTTTAATAAAAATAATGTTTTTTTATAAAAATGATGTGGCCATGCTCGAGTACGAATTGGCCGATGTTTCTCTGGCAAGCAGGCACTTTTAGATCTAAAGGAGATCGGCCACGACGGCCACGAATTTATTCGACAAAGAACATGCCGTTGAAAGCAAGTCACTAGAATGCTAGTGACTTCCTATCAATGGCGTGACCAGGGTTCCAAAATAGAGGAAGCCCGAGGCCATGAGTTTGTTTGCCCTTTCTTCTCATAAGGCTCAACCCCTTGGAAACGGGCGGTTGTAGATCGGCACAGGCATATCATAGATTTTGTATGGGTTTGATTTTTGTTAAATTTATTTGCTTACTATTTGACAAAACAGAGATTGTTGCTTTTGTGTGTGTTGATCTATGACTTTAGAGTCTACATAAAAGACGATATCAAACAATTTTAATTTTTTAATCAAATAAAGAGAGTTTGATTTGTTCTATACCACGATAGGTCGTTGTTCTTCCTCCTATGTCTTCTTTCGTCACATTGATTGATGAGTTTCTCAAAGTACAAGAAAGTAATAATTTAGTTAATAAATTTTATTAATTACATAAGTATATTTCAAGTAAGTGTGAAAATGCTTCAATTACCTAAATTCTTGCTCTAGAAGTGTAGTGCAAGAATTTAGAAGAAGTAAGCACATGAAATCCATCATGAAGATTATTTGAAATGACATAGATAGGTCTATCTATAAATTTGATTAACTCGACTAGTACAAGCAAGATGTAGTCAAAAGTAGTCAATGACTACTTCAGCGTTGCCACGACCATTATTTTCTGTAAAGTACCTAGCAAAAATGTTAATACTGTTTATTTTTTTTAAGTTTAAGAGTCACCACTTCGGAGGCGGTTGCAAGAACAGTGCACTCCACACTACACACGTGGAAGGCTCTGCGTCGACGCAATAACGATACGACTTCATGACTGCGCTGTGGGTAGCCTCTCATTGGAGATCTTGGTTCTGTCCATGATCCAAAGAGAGAGTGATCTTTGCCACCGTGTTTTTTTTTGATGAAGTGATATTTGCCTAAGAGTTCTCCCCTTCTGCACCTAATACGCACGAGGTGCCGGAGAGCCAAAGGGCCAGAGAGCGCTTGTCAGATGTTCTCTGTGACTTCTTTGTTAAGGTATACAGAAACATTATGTAGTTTTGAGTCCGATATACCATTCCCCCCTCGGCTCTAGTAAAGTAATAACCCGCGAGGTTGCATCATCATCATCATCATCAGCCTATCGCAGTCCACTGCTGGACATAGGCCTCTCCCATTGCACGCCACTTAGATTCGATTTCTGGCTTCTCGCATCCAGTTCCTGCCAGCCATCTCGCGCAAATCGCGATGTTTACCACACCACAATTTAAAAGCTATAATTAGTTAACAATAGCAAAATGAAAGCAAAGAAGTTTCTTTTTAATTAATCAATAGACATTCAAATGATTTAATGTTAAAGAGAATAACTCTCAGCAAACTGTTGTGAGTCTTTGTAAATGTGGGCTTCTAAAACTGAAAATATTACAGTTAATTAAACAGAACCATTTGGCTTGGATATTAGGATGAGACCTAGAACGTATACATGACTCCATAGATTAATGATAGAGAAATGTAGGGTATGCAAGAAAGGTTGCATAAGGAATCTATAACAGAACGTCAGATTTTTAACATAAATTTTATACATATACATACATAAATTATGATATTAAGATGTAAGGTTGACCGGTAGAGAATGCCTTAGGCATTAAGTCCGCCAATGCACCAAATAAATAAATAAATAATACATAAATGCCAAGAAGTCTAAATTAAGCACTTCTAGAAGTGTCCTCCCCTGTCCTTAAACTTTTACAAGGATATCACTGAGAACTCATTTAATAGGAACTTTTATGTGCAAAATATCTAAAAATATGGAGCTTTATTTCTAGAGAACAACACTGTAACACTGTTTAATACATGACAACAATTTTTTAGGTACTGTGATCGCGTGTAATTATGCCACTGTTATTAAGCTGCTAGCTGCATGTCTGGTATTGACTGTTTCAAAATTAGCTCGTGTAATAGGTCGTGACGCCCTTGATTCCCTTACAAAAGAAACTTTAGTTTCACAAGTTAAATACGTTATTGGTTTTCAGCTAATAAGTCAGGATATAATGTCGTTATAATTATCTTCTAACAACCCCGAAACTAAAGACTTGTAGGCATATAAAAAGGACGTTCGTACAGTATTTAGTATAGTTGAAGTCCAGTCAACAAACAAACATATCAAGTAAAATGATTTCTCAAGTGAGTATCTAAACAAATAATTTAGTGTGCATTTTACGGAAATTTTAAACCTTCAATTCATTTTATATCACATAAAAAAATGCCATAAACTTTACAATTAATCTAATTTTTTTTTAAAGAATACTTGTCTAAATATTAGCTTTTTGTACTGAATAATTTATCATTTTCGTAGAACATAATTTATACTTACGTAAGCAAAGTAGTTCTAACTGTTTGATCGGAAGAACATTTAAACCTTTGCAATAGAACTCTGGGGTCCTGGACTCTAGAAACTGTGTGAAGTCGTTTTTTACTGCTTACTTGGAAGACAAAAAAATGAAAAAATATTTTATCTGGAAAAATATCATTTTTTAAGAAAGGAGTTTGCAAGTTAAAAATGGTCAAAAACGCGCATATGCTTCTACTAGAATGCCAGTGTCAATAGGCTATGATAACCGCTTACCATCAGGCGGGTCACAGGTTTTGAGCTGATGTTGCATAAAAAATAGTAAAATTGCCACAACGTTTATAATCGATAATATATTTTTTATTCATAAAATTGCCATGTTATGTCATTTGTGCTAAATTTTTAAACATAACAAATACAACGTCAAATTTATAAGGTTCGTAAAATAATGTATTTGAAAACAATTCTTATAATTTGCCTAAGATTTCTAGACAATTGTTTAAATACTACTGTAATTACTCCTTGAAATAATTACAGTTAATTACGGATACATCATCGGTAAATACCTACTAATATTATAAGTGCTAAAGTAATCTGTCTGTCTGTTACGCTTTCAACTGATTTCAATAAAATTTTGGCATAGCGATGCTTTGATAAAAGTCATTCCTTCTTGAGGAAGGGGGAGGTAGTACTTAATAATAGCATTGACAGCTTCTGTCATTATACGTATTTGATACTAATATTCACAAAAATAAAACATTTTAATAAACTGCAAATATCGCAACACAGTTTTTGTGCGAAAGGGTTGTTAGACCAAAGTGTTCCTTAACCAACAATATTTTATCATGACCGTCTCAACATTAGACATCATTGATTCTCTAAATAAAAAGAATGACTTATTCGTATTAGTTACTGAAAATTTAGGGTGCTGAGTTGATCAACAATGAAGTTAGCCCTGTAAGGTCGTTGTGTAAATATGGGTCGAAAATGTCCTGAATACCCTGGAGAAAAGTATAGTACGACTGTGCCTCTATTATAGTTTTTGTTTAACTTGGCAGATCACATTGCCAGATATTTTTTAAGCTTCACGATCGAATGTAATGTTGAATTTGTATGAGAGGATGACTTAAATGACAAACAGACTTAAATTATCCTTTTTTTTGTTTTAAATACCAATTCAATAAAAATAATTGTTCAACACAATCGCTTAATGCTTTGTTTATTACAAAAAATTTCTATGTATCATCCATATACCGTGTCGTACATCGTTTACACTTTGTCATAGTTTTGTGGACAGAATGGGCATGTGGCAATAAAATGAATACCAAAATAAAGTCAAGTCCGCTATATTCCCGTAATGACGTATCAAAGAAATTTTTATAAAACTTGGTATGTATTTAGGTTAAGGAACTTGAAACAGTTTTTATACGACGACTGTTCTACTCGACCGTTGTAACAAGACTGTGTGGCAGGCACAACATAGCAGATGGCTCTGGCATCTGTTGTTGAAAGCAATGTATGCGTGTTGGCTATCCATTTTTGTCGATTCCGATAATTAATGGTATTTATTTAGCCGTTGTGTGGTAGAAAATCGCTATTAATACAGTTATAATATTAATTTAAGCCGTATCGTATAAAATGCAAAACAAATTTTCCGTTATTAGAAATCGATGTTTACATATACTACGAGTATACACCTTTTACAAGCATTTTATTTTTTAGGTAACCATCGTCTGTCTACTGGTAGTGAGTGCTCAGGCATATGTTGCCGTGTCTCACCAATCCCGGGTTGACCACCATGGACATTACGGCCACCACCACCGTCACGATCATGTGATACACCATCATTATGACAAACACCATCACCATGATGGTCACGATGATCATCACGATGATGACCATCATCATCACGATGATCACCATAATGATGATCACCATCATGATGAACATCATAATGATGATCACCATCACGATGAACATCATCACGATGAACATCATCACGATGAACATCATCAAGATGAACATCATCACGATGATCATCACCACGGTGGGCATGATGATCACCATCACGATTACCACCACGTAAGTACAACTTTACCGAAAAGCAATACAGCAAATAATATCTAGAAACTTAACCGAATTAAAAAAAAACACAAGGTCACGTCTTTACATTAAATGTTAGTAGATTATTCAAATCACATCAACAGCGTTAAATTGAAATTACAAAATAAATCAGACCAGAAATAAACCTTACTTCAAGGAACCTATTTGTGCCTTTTAGAAATCCATAACCCTCAAAAATAATAATTTAGCAACCCTTTTCTACACGCTTTATATTAGCTTCACTTGTATGTTTGTTTGTATGTTTGTAACCGACTCCTTTGGGCGTGATTTTGACTGACTTTAAACGGTCAGAATTCGTTCAAACTTTGTAGATATATCGACCGATGACAATACACTAATTTAAAAAATATATATATATAAGCTTTTTTCAAATTTATTTTCTATTTTTTAGTTTGGTTTTCTATAGAAAGCGTGTTTTTTAGTTTTTTAAAACTATATTTTTTTTCGTAAAATCTTTAAACATTTTTTTCTAATATAAATGGAATAACGCGTTTTAAATCTGCAATACAAAGTAAACTTAATAAGACAGTTTTCACAGTAACACAGTTACTTTCTGTACAAATTATTTTCGATATTTTGAACTTTCAAGTGTGTAACATTGAAGTTTCTACATACAACCACATCGTTAGAAAAAAGTATAAAGTTGTTACATACTAATTTAATGATTGGGTTTTATTTTTCTTATAAATGAATATTTGTTTTACCACAGCACTACCCTGAGTACCAGTTTGAATACTCAGTGAAAGATGACCACACACATGACTACAAATCGCAACATGAAGAGCGCAAAGGAGACCACGTGTCTGGCTTTTACAGTCTTGTAGAACCCGATGGCAATGAGCGCACTGTTCATTATAAGGCCGATGACCACCATGGGTAAGTTGTAATATTATCTTTACAAAACATGGTTTTACTTATAATATGGCAAATAGCACGAAATTATGAGGGTTAAAAAAAACGACGAAGCGCTTCAAGAAAAGGTAGGTAGTGTCCTTGCTTGGCTCGCCATGGCGGGGCCACTACGGTGCCCCCCACATACAAAATATTTTACATTTTGCCATGCCCCCAGATACAAATACTACTACTACTATAATACTACTATTTCATGTGTGCCAAGTGTCAAGTACATATAAAAAAACAAAAAGTTTAGTCATATTTTGATTTTCCCTGTCTTCAAGCAAATACTTTAACTAAGACCACTGAAATACTATGATATCCAAAAGACCAATAATAATTCTTGAATCTCCAAAAATCTAAAAAAAAACTCTTAACTTTCTTCTTTCTTTCATTTACAGTTTCCATGCAGACGTACACCACAAAACCGCCCATCATCACCATATTCCCCATCATCATCATGGCCATCACCACCATGATCATAAGCATCATGGCCTTCTCCATCATCTTAGCCATCATGGTCTGCATCATCATCAAGGTCATCATGATCATCACCATCATCATGACAAATATTAAATTGGACTTATTTGTTTATACCTTTCGAAAACACCGAATTCGACTAATTATACCTACTTCCTTGCATAGCAAGTCAGCGCTGACAAATAAAATATATGTACCAAGAGAAAATATCGTTTTTAATTATCAGTGTTACATTTCAATAGTATGTAATATATGTAGCTCATGTAAAATATTTTAGTTGTGTTTAAATGTTGGTTTTAATTTGAGTTGTGCCCATGAACAAAGCTAAAACCATCACTTTTTGCGGCATGTTTTGAGCCATTTTCTTGAATTGGTAAGATCTTCCTGTCAGAAGTGTAACCGACACTTGAGTCGTCAAAAATATTATGAGCGCTGTTAGAAGGCATGTCATATGTATACAGAGTGTTGGATCGTTGTTGATGTTTATTCGGCTTCTCTCTTTTCACTACAGCATTGAAACTGAAAAAGAATTGAAACAAAATGTTTAAGAACATAAGTTTAGTACCGTATCACATAGATATGCCTTATAAATAGTAAATATGGTGTATGAAGCCCTTAAATCAAAAACACTTGCAGTTCAAATAGGGACTTTAGTAATTTGTGATCAATTTGACGATCGTAAATCTTTTCACAGTTTTGAAAACATTAGACTGGTTTGTACTGATCATCTGAAATGTGGTGCTGTAATAATATCTATGGCATCTGAGGATTTTAATTATAAATAATAAGCCTTACACGAATATATGCAGTCACCTTTCTAATTTGGAACCCGGGCACACAATATATAATTTTACAGTTTTATCAGCCGGAGCTGTAGTTTTTACATGGGTAGCGTCACCTAACATAAGCAACTATATGGATATAGTAGTTCTCAATAATTAGAATTTGACAGAAATATAATTTTAGTAGAATGCTACAAACGTGGCAGAATTAAAATAAATACACGTTGAAGAAGTACAGTATATTCAATCACAGTATGTACAGTAACCACACAACTGGTGTTCATGTCAGATATAAAAGAATTGTTTGTGTGACAAGTAATTTTTTATTGTTTGTTCAAAAGTAATACACATTACCGCCAAGACGTGACGTTGATTTGTCAGTCTACAGCAGCCCTATCATATACAGTCTATTATAAACTTTCTCATATTTTAGTAACTCGTAATGTATATGTTACATAATTTAAAAATTGCGATATTATTAGTTTTTATTAAGTTTAAAATTTTAATATTGTAATATATAATATATTCTTAGAATCGTCTTATCAAAATACAAAAGTACGACGAGGCTCTTTAGTAGCTTGCTATCAGTTACCAATCAGTTTCTGTCAATGATTAGAATTGGATTGGATCTTGCAATAAAAACTAAGCAACTCTAAGCATTAAACCCAGCGTTCAACTAAGAAATCATAAGACACGACCTCAGCATGACTTACTGTTTTACATTTCTTTTGAGAGATTACTGCCCCAGAGCCCTATACTGTACTTGGAACGATTTCTGGTTCTCGGTAAATTTATTAGCATGCAGTCAGTTACTTACTATATTACGTACAAAGGGGTTTTACGGTAGTCTCTCATTCAAGAGCAGTCACCGTAATGACCAGGACGAAGAAAGGGTTAAAGGTTTTTCCTATCAATTTGTTTGATATAAACTTCTTATGGTACATCATATGATATGTCTTATGCACTACCGTGTTGTCATGTCCAATTTATTACATTGAGCTGCATTATACATATCTTTCAGGTAACTAGGTAGGTAGGTTCACTTAACGCTAATAAAAACTATTCTAATAGTGGCTAACCCGTGTAATGCATCTGCAGTATACTCCACAGTTCGCAGCGCTCCATCTGGTTCATACAATGTGTAAACGCCGCGGACGTTATCACCATCCCGTTTCTCCCAGTGACTTTTTCTATCACCCGTCTGGTGGTCCGATACTTCATATTTATATTCATATTTCGGCTGCAACGCACCAAAATAAAATAAAACGTTTAGAAATAAAGTCAATCATAACGGGATGAATGTTTTAAACCATTCCAACAATGGAACGCATAGTTGACAGACATATGCAAAATACAATTTAATGGCTGATTTTTATATGCTTATACATTCTAAAAACAAACACATTAAAGAATGAAGTTTTTAAAATCACCACATAACCTTCATGCCATTAGGACTGCCCCAACAATAATATTAAATAATAACAACAAACAAACCAATTCATTCATGAATATATAATAAAAATATACATGTCCATTAGAGTTGATTTAATTTTATTTAACGGGTACGATTTTACGCCTACTGTACTCTTTTTTATGGCAGAGGGGACAAACAAGCAGACAGATCACCTGATGGAAAGTGACTACCGCCGCCCATGAACGCCTGCAACTCAGAAGTCACAAGCGCGTTGCCGGCCTTTGGAGGAACAGTCAGATCTTTTCTTGAAGGTTTGAAGGTCCTACTCATCCGCTAATCATAAAATTTCGCATGTACGCTGTCAGATGTGCAAAAAACCATATTTTGGTTAAAATCACTATTCCCAAAATCAATTTCCATGGAGATGAACTCGAGAACAAAAGCTAGCTAGGCTCACAAAGGCGATAAATGTATCTTGTAGATATAAACAACTTTAATAATCTTATCCTTATCTATATGGATGTTTGTTAATCTATCACACCCGGTCGGCTGAATGGACCTGGATATTGTGTCAGAGATCGATTTGAGACCAGAGTAGGACATAACCTACATCTTATTAAGGAAAAGGGAAAAACCTACAAAGTTACCTAAACAAAGTCAGTGAATGGATGGAAAATGTGGATAACACATATTCCACAACTTTGACGACTGCGACGCGTTGAATAAACGGCATCTTATTTGCCGTGATTCATGCAGCTTGCTGCGTGAATCACGGCAAATAAGATATTCAAAACGTCAATTTAACGTCAAAATTATTACGTCAAAAAGAACGTATGGAGATCAGCAACAAAAACTGTCTTCTACAACGCCTTGAAAATTATAACCAATGCGTCTCTATTTATCAAAATCAGTGAAATTATATAAGCACAGTTAAAAAAAAATGATAGTTCTTCTTAACTCTTCAAAAGTCAAAAACAGCGCGGGAACATACGAACATCGTTTAAAAGCTCAAGACAACAGCAGCAACAGTGTTATGTGAACCGATAAACGAGAGAAGACTCAAAAGACAACAGATAAAGGACCTTGTTCATTGGCAAATCCTTATATAATAAGATACAGGTTCCTTACTGGAAAAACGCTTGTTTGCTGTCATTTTAAATCTTACAATAAATCTATTTAGCCCCTGTCAAGATATTAAAATAGTTAAAGTTAAAACAGAAAACAAAATAAGAGCAAATAACGTCTAATAATACCAATATTACCACCACCAATATTACCAAATTGATGAAAGGCAATGTGTACCATTGTGCGACAGGGCTCAATATTAAATATTGAAAAAGTCTTGAAGTCATTTAGTTCCGAATTTAAAGTATGTAAAATGGGTAGGACCCATTTTACATATTTTATAACCATCTCTTATACTGTACTGGGATACACAGGGTTCATGATGATATCACCATCACAACACAATGTAAAACATTGCAAAACGCAATAATGTATCGAGTAGTTAAATAAACTAAACAATTAATAATTAAATAATTAATGTAATTTATCTATAATATGTATGTATTTAGAAATATATAAGTATGTTTATCAGCGGTCTGGTTACCATAGTACAGGCTCTGCCTAGTTTGGGATCAGACGGCCGTGTGTGAGTGTGTGAGATATATTATATTATTATAATTTTATTTTTTTGGTATTCGCATTTTTCTATCAATTCTTGTGGATATATCTACACAAGCATAGTACATAATTTTAATTCTTTTTATTACATAATCGAGTTGGCAAAGTTACGATTTCATTTAACACGCAACAGTTTACAATTTTCTCGCTCAATTTAACTATCAAAATATCATAATAGGCGTTCTAGATTTTTTACATTTTGCCTCGCTGCCTACTTGCATATATTTTAGTAATAGTCTTATAAGAAAACTGAGACCACTTACACTATTACCAGTACCGGAAATTATAGATGTAGCTGAAATCAAATTGGTCATTAGATAATCAGTTATTTTAGGTATTTTGACAAATGTTTGGTTGTAATACACAATAGGAATGGAGTACTAGTTTCGGATGGTACAGTCTGCAGCGGGTGAAACACAATGCTTTGCGAGCTGGTAGCATGCTGCAACATCGCGACAGGCGCGGATCGAGCTATCAGCCAACTATTCATGAGTACGATCGTCTGAAACAAATAACATTTCGTAGTACCAATTACACTATGCATTTTTTAAATGAAATACGATTACACAATCTTTTTTTTAATTGTTGAACAAAACGTCACTATGAAACACAGGTTAAATTGGAGATCTCTTATAAAAGAAAAGTTGGAATTCATTTTATAGATACACTTGAATATGGCAAACCTGCCTTATAATATACTAAATCCATGACGAAGGAAATAAAGTCGTGTATAAAGTGAACTAGACGATTGAAGAACTAGTCTTGTCGAAGTGCATTTTATAGGTTCATCTCATCTGATAGGAGAAACAATGTGTTTGTCGGCGGATGCATTTGCGTCGACAATGGTCCTTGTCAATTAAAATAGTTTATACTGCACTGTATGCAAACGTTAATGATATATGTTAAATAGTTATTCAGTTTTTACATATGTTTACTGCCAACAGGCAAAATACAAGCATAAGCGCCACTACGACTTACATCAACGGCCTTTAATATTTTTACGGTTTTGGCCAATTATACCACGCTGGCCAGACGGGTGCACCCTCGAAACGCTGGCGATGGCACTGTTTCCTCCTTGTCCACTTGGAGGAGGGGATTATCGCCAGCGGCTAATATTCTAGCAGAAGAGGAAGCCGCTCATCGGCTCTCGGGCAAGTCCTGGTCCAGCAGGGTGGGCGTGTCTACCGGTTGCCCTGCTGGCTCTTCGCTCTTCGGAGCATGGAGGAGGAAACCTCGGTAAAAAACCGGATGGCGGGGCCCTGTAGGGGCCACAGTTTCTCCGCTGACAGCGGTGGAGAAAGGAGGACGGGCTCGGCGTGTACTGACACTACCACCGAGCAGGCAGGGGGACGTAGTCTCCCTGTCAAGCGTCGGCATATTGTAATCCCGAGAAGAGCGCTGTGGTCAAGTCTCGCGGCTCTGATCGGGGGCGAGGGTCTTGGCTTAACCGCCCGGACCGCGAGGATGACAACCTCTCTAAAAAATTCCCCGAATCCCGTGTTTTGGTACGGGGCCAGGGGATGCATGGCTGATGGGGAGTTCAGTCTCGAGCGCACTCCAAGCCGAGGTACCTGCGGACCCCTCGGTTGGGTTAAAAACTTACGCTTGCCCGGGTAATGGGGGATCTCTGCCCGGGTGGACCTTTAGTTCTCCCCAACTCGTGGGATTTATTATGGACAATGATAACCAAAACATAAAAAAAAAACGATCGGAAAACAAACCAAAACAAAAAAGGCAAGTCAAACGGACACGGAAACGAGGAAGGAGAAGAGGAACAGTGGAGTGGATGGGTCGTCCACTGAGGGTGAGGTGGCGTCGGGAACGCCTATCTCGGTGGGGCTCCCAGAAGTCAGTCTGACGCTGGTCTCTGGGAGCCGAAGAGCATCAGATCGGCTGCGTTCCGGATCCGCCGTTTCGTCGGATGGCGCGGAGGCCATGGAGGCGGAGCGAAGCGACAGCCGGAAACGCGGACGCTCCAGGGACGAGGAAACCGACACGTCCCAGGAGATGATGCCACCAAAGGTGGCAAGCAGCCGCCGAGGGAGGGCACGTAAACCGGCCTCGGTCTCGACCCCGTCAGGCTCCGCGTTCTCAAACGCGGAGTCGTACAGGAATGTACGAGTGGACGGCGAGGCCCTAGCGGAGGAGGAGATCGCGGATCTCCTGCTCAAGGTTCGGGAGCCGGTGGGGGGAAATGCCCCCCAGGCTCCCGTGTCCGTGCAGGAGAGGGCGAAAGCGGCGGTGGCCGTCATCCACAAGGTGGCCACCAAGTCCGTAAACCTTAAGGGCTCGTTTGTGAGGGCCCTTAAGGACTCCTCCTCCGCTTTGTCGGAAGTCGTGGAGGGCCTAGTGGGCGACGTCTTGCGCCTACAACGAGCTGAGCGCTCAGTTCGCCCGCTTCCAGGCGAACCTCCCCGAGCGGGAAGCCCCGTCCGCGTCCCAGCCTGCCCCTACCACCAACTCAGGGGCATTTGACTCCCAACTGCGTGAAATCCTCATCGCAGTTGGGAATATGCTGGACGGACGCCTGGCTGGCCTGGATTCGAGACTGCCCCTTGCGCCCCCCGCTCGCGTCGGCACAGCGGCCTAAGGCCGCCGCTCCGACCGCGCTCCCCGTGGTGGGAGGCCGCGTCTCTTACGCGGCGGCGGCGTCTGCCCCGACTCCATCGGCTCCCCAAAAGCCGAGGAGGGGGGCCAAGGCACCGGCCCAGGCGCCGGCCAAGGCACCGTCCCAGGCGCCGGCCAAGGCGCAGGCCAAAGTGCCGGCCAAGACGGGGCCTAAAACAGCGCCGAGGAGCGGAGTGGCATTCCCTCCGCTCCCCACTCCTACACCCCTGCCCCCCTGGTTCGTCTAATAGGCCCCTTAGACGAACCTGAACCACTGTGCCGCGGCGCAGGATCTCTTCCTGCAAACCATGGCACAGTGGTCGATAGGTGTTGCCGTAGTCGCGGAGCCCTATTTCGTCTCTCCCCGTCCAAACTGGATGGGTGACTGGGACGGCTCCGTGGCAGTCGTCGGTTCCACGGCGGCTCATTCCCCGCCCTTGTCGCTAAGAGACAAGGGCACTGGATATGTTGCCGCCGAGTGGGGGGGGATCACCATATATGGTGTTTATTTCTCCCCCAACCGGAGTTTGAGCGACTTCGAGGTTTTCCTCAACAACCTGGAGACCTCGATGCGGCGACTAGCGTCTGGGCACGTCCTTGTTCTGGGGGACTTCAACGCAAAATCCACTGCGTGGGGTTCCCCCGGGACGGACGCAAGGGGCAAGGCCGTAGAGGAGTGGGCGGCCTCGGTGGGCCTCTGTCTTCTCAACAGAGGCTCCACCAACACGTGCGTGCGACAGCAGGGGGGGTCGATAGTGGACCTTTCGTTCGCTACCCCTGCCCTCGCCGCACGAGTAAGGAACCGGCGTGTCCTGGAAGAGGTTGAGACGCTCTCGGATCATCTTTATATCCGATTTGAGCTCTCCCGGACCCAGGACTCCAGTAGGGGTCACGTGGCGCGGCGTTTATCCCGCTTTCCGCGGTGGGCTGTTGCCAGACTGAACCGGGACCTACTAGAGGAGGCAGCCATAATTCACTCGTGGCTATCTCCTCAGGCCCCGACCGAGGAGGTTGACGTGGGGGCTGGTCGCTTTCGCGATGCGATTACGCATGTCTGCGATGCGGCCATGGCCCGCATTCGAGGTCGTCGGCCTCCAAGGAAGGAGGTCTACTGGTGGTCCCAGGAGCTGGCGGACCTCCGTGCGGCCTGTATACGTGCCCGGAGGTCCTACACGCGCAGTCGGCGGCGTCACCGTGAAGACGGTGAGGAGGACCGGCTTCATGAGGAGTACCGAGAGGCGCGGAAAACTCTGAAGCTGGCCATTAGCCTCGCCAAAGAGATAAAGAGAAAGGAGATGCTGGAGGCTCTAGATCGTGACCCTTGGGGTCGCCCTTATCGCGCGGTGCGACAAAAGCTCCGCGCGTCGGGCCCCCCCCCTTACGGAGACTCTCCAGCCCAGCTTCCTGCGAGAAGTGGTTGAGGGCTTTTTCCCGCAACGAGCGGAACACACTCCCCCGGCGATGGCCTCCTTGGCCGGAGACGGCGGGGAGCACGAGGAGGATGATGTTCTGCCCGTCCGGGATTCGGAGGTAGGGGCGGCTGTTCTACGGATCCGTTCCAAGAACACCGCCCCTGGGCCAGACGGGGTACCGGCCCGAGTGCTGGCCCTAGCCCTCAACCACATGGCAGACCGCCTCGGGGAGGTGTTCGACGCCAGCTTGGCGTCGGGACGTTTCCCTGAGTGCTGGAAGAGCGGGAAGCTGGTCCTATTAAGGAAGCCGGGACGGCCTGCCGATTCGGTCGCGGTCTACAGGCCCATCATGCTGCTGGACGAGGTGGGTAAATTGTTTGAGAGGATTCTCTCTGCCCACATCGTCCGACACCTCTACGAGGTGGGCCCCGATCTGTCGGACGCCCAATTTGGTTTTCGGTCGGGGCGTTCGACAATCGACGCTATTTTGCGCCTGAGGGCCGTGACCGAAGAGGCAGTGAGCTGTGGCGGCGTGCTGTTGGCGGTGTCATTGGACATCCCTCCGCCCGAGGATGTGCGCGAGTGGCGCGAAGCCGCTCGCCGAGCCACGATGGCTCGTTGGTCGTTCCGGCTGGAGACTCCACGCGTTGGCTTCACCGCCGTGGAGGCTCTCCAGCCGGTCATCGCCGAGTGGGCAGGGCGGCAGCACGGGACCCTTACCTTCCGGCTGACGCAGGTGCTTTCCGGGCACGGTTGCTTCGGAAAGTACCTGCACTCGGTCGCTAGGAGGGAACTGAGTCCCGCCTGCCACCACTGCGACTGCAGTGAGGACTCGGCCCAGCACACGCTGGCGGTCTGCCCCGCATGGGCGACGCAGCGCCGGGCCATAACTGCAGTCATCGGAGTGGATCTCTCGCTACCGGCCGTAGTACGCTCCATGGCCGGTAGCGACAGTTGTTTTACCGCGGTCGCAACCTTCTGCGAGGAAGTAATCTCGCAGAAGGAGGCGACGGAGAAGGCCCGGGAGGACAACCTTCACTCGGACCCGATCCGCCGCCGGCGAACCGGGCGGCGGAGGCGCGCCTATCACCGCCTCATGCCGCCCTGAGTGTGGCCGCGGGTGGACGGGGTGGGTTTCCCCTCCACCCGCATTAGTTTGGCCAGCCGCGAGGGGGCGGCGTCCGCGTGTGCCGGACGTCGCCTAAAGAGAGGAAAATTTTGAGACGGAGCCCGCACCAGGAGCGGGCAGGCGCTAGGAGGGGTCCGGATGTCTTAATAACAGCTGTTCCCGGATCCCTCCTATTACAGGCGCAGAGTGGCACAGCGTGTGGTTTTAGTCAGTCCGAGTCCGACACACCACCCCGCCGCAAACTCCGGTGGGGTGACGGTCCGAGGGGATTTCCACACGTTAAAAAAAAAAAAAAAAGGGTTTGTGTCAAGTTTTCCTTCTGTCTGCAGTGCTGTTGTCCTGCATAGTTTGCTCCCTTAGTCCGTCCGTCACCACATGGATTGCCGCATATAAAGTATCAATTTAATAATGTCGATATAGGAGTAGTACGACTTTTTTACACATTTACTTACCGTAAGGTTCATTACACTTTGTAAAGAGGAAGTAGAACAGCGTCTTCCACTTCCATCTAGTCTTCTGCTGTCCGCTGAGACTCATTTCTCTTTCAACTGGAAATATCGAAAGATATTTCCAGTTTTGAAATGCATAGGTACAGGCATAGGTAGAGCACAAGTATATGTTTAGGCATCAGGCGGACTGTATGCTGCAACTTTGTTCTAAATAAAGTAATATCTCGCAACAAATGAAATTTACTTTGTTTTATCCAAAAATCATTAGAGTTCTTGATTGATAAATATTTTTATCTCATAACAAAATTTAACCATATCTAATTACTATATTTAAATAAATAATATATAATTTATATAATATTAATAATATACATATAAGATTCTGCAAACAAATTTTATTTTATTTATTTTTATTTTTTCCTTTATTAAAAATATTTAATAAAGGAAAAATTAGGGGAATAAATGTTCCCCGTTTTCGCAACATTTTTCATTGATGCTCGATTCCTGTTAACTATAGCTTCATGTTAACGTATAGCCTTTCTCGATAAATAGGCTATCCAACACTGAAAACAATTTTGCAATTCGAACCAGTACTTCCTGATATTAGCGCGTCCAACCAAACAAACAAACAAACTCTTCAGTTTTATAATATTAGTATAGATGATTTACATTAACTTTATAACGCATAGATTACCTACATCTGTTGCAAGTTTCTTACACTTGGACGGAATCAGTTTCCATTCACTTTGAACATCTTAGTATCAAACGGCTAACCGAGACTTTCAATTTGAATATGTTCGCTAGAGGGCGTTTATATTAATATTGGCTCACTCAGTAATTTTATAGCACTGTTTTCCTCATCTTTCTTACTTGATAGCTGTTTTATGCAAGAACACCTATAAGTTTTTTTCAGTTAAGGTGGTAGGTGCTTCTATTATTTATGTATAAGTATAAGAAAAGAAAATTTAAGTAATGTTATTTGGAATTTGAATCACAATTCGAATCACGAATGACGCGATGGCATGCTGGTTAATGTGCCAACCTCGCCGCTTCACACTGCTGTGAACGTTATGGGTTCGATCCCCAAATGGGACAACACTTTGTGTGATCTACAAATTGTTGTTCTGAATCTGGATGTTCTTTGTGTCCGTTTCTTGTTTGTTTGTAAAGTAAACGGCGTTATTGGACATATACCTAGTGCGAAGTTAAGAGAGAGAGAGTTGTCTTTTTTAAAGAGAAGGAGAAAAATATTATTCTATCGACCTTAATTAAAGACCTTCTCCATTGTTAATCATATGTTTATCGTATCTATTTAATTTCACGAAATATTCATATATTCCTTTATTATTAAGATGATTACATATACGAAAGAAAGTAATAGTTAATAAAATTGTTGACCCTACAATTTAATTAACTAAATATTTTTGATGCTCCAGTTATTTTCTTCTGAGTTAAACATTATAAAACTAGGGTTTTCGTTTTTTATATTCATTGTTAAATTTACCATTTTTTGAAAATATTTGTGCACAAGACTACGTACAAAATAACGAAACAATCCCTTAGCTAATAATAAATTGAATTGTGTTCACATTAGAAATCGATCTAGTTTTTATATCGAAATACTAGATTATGTTATAATGATACCTAATGTATAAAAGATATTGACAGTTTTTAAATAGAAGTTCGGCCAAGTGTTGACGGGAATTAACATACAGTGCATAATGCTAAGTTAAGCTAACACTAGTCTTCAAACCAAAACACTTAAAATTTAGTATTTTTATTAGTAAAACTAGCTGTTATGCTAGATGTTATATAGATATATATAACGATAAATGGACTATCCAACGCTAAAAAAAAAATTGTACTTGTAGTTCCTGAGATTAGAGCGGTCAAATATTAATTTAGATTTAATGTTACTAATAAAAGGGTAATGTTATTCCACAAAAAAACTTATAGTTACGGAATTGACATCCTTAATACTTTACAGAATATTTAATATATGCACTAAAATATAAATTAATATCTGTGTCATGACACAGTCCAATTTCTTTGCATAAATGTAAGATAAAAACATGATATAAAAAGATGAATTATAAAATCTAGAGTAAGGTATATTATTTAGAGGCACTTATTCACGGGAAAAGTGATTGTTGTGAAGCGATGATATTATTATATGTAAGAAATAGGTTATATCATTACATCTTCAAAGTTTGTTTAATATTTGATTAAAAGTATGTTTCCTCTTTTATAATCTTCACTGTTATTTAAAATAATGACCGACTACAACAACGGAGAAACTACTTTTAAAATCTGATTTTATCTCTAGTTTAATCTGCTAAAGAATAAAAAAAGAAAGGCTAGCAAAATAGCTAATTAAACCTTCAAGATACTGGTTGTAGAACCACTAACGTTTGTAACTTTCTTTAAAAGATAATACTTTTGTCAAGGAGTACAGTAGACACTTAATAAGACCTTGCTACCTTGGCGACCCTAAAATCCAAACCTGGCATTCGCTTAAATTCCGGTCACTAAAATGTTAACAACAGTTATTTCATAAAGTTATTTCTTGATTGTCCTTAGAAATAAATTAGTACTTGCCCACACTCCGGCTGGTACTCTTTATGTACATCTGCGTCAACTACGAGTTTACGTCAATGACGAGTTTCAGAGAATTCTACAATTGTAATTATATTATTATATACAGAGAGTGGGGACCTCAGGTGGCAGATTGATTGCTGCTGTAGGGGATAAAAATGCGGCCTTGTTTCGGTGCTTTCCCCTAGGATAGACGCCGATTAGGAATGGTGTCGATTCGGGGTCCTCCCCGAATCGACACCATTCCTAATCGGCGTCCGGCGTCCTGGAATAACATTATCTGGGTCCTCCCCGAGTAGGGTACCTGAGGCGGGCCGTCAGGGTGGTTTTTAGTGGAATCTTCACATACTCCTGGCTCCTGAGTTAGTAGCTGCTTAAGCCACTACGCCATCCGTGCAGTCATTATTAACGGATGATCCTGTCATTTCATAGCAGAGGACATTAAATAAAAACTTAATTCCGAGTATTTAACGTTAGTTTACCTACTTCCTACTTGCATTAGTGAAGATTATATTTCTCAATCGCATGTATGTGTATTGCCACCGCAAAAATAAAGAAGGTATATCACATTCTTTAATCTTGGTTTCTTATTTGACTAAGTTTTAGCAAATTCTTTGCAAAAGACATGTTAAATTGTACACCTGGCCGACATTTTGCCGGTTACGTTTGTTTATAGCTAATTGGTTGGATAACTGTTAAAGTCACTGCATAAGCATTGTAATATAAACTCGCTCTACTCCAGCACATTACATAAGTTACGACTTAGTTAAAACTTAACAGATTTAATTTATCAAACGAAAGTCCAATCCCAGTTACTCCCATTTTGAAACACACCTAACAAATTTTGTGGGTGTTCATTAAGTTACTAGTTGTTAATAAAAGCTGACCAATCGCTTTAAACATGGAATGAAATTGAAACCTCTCTTTCACAAACTAAATTACAACATTCGGTGTGAAAAGAAGGTGGATGAAATTTCAATCGTATTATGTGCAATAATGTGTGATCCAATTCACACCTACTTACTTTATAAGTAGGCTTTAAAGTTCTTTAAAAGGAAATATTTTCGAACATACAAAGTACAAAATGACTACCAATATTACATTACTTTTAATCCTGTGAAGTCATCATTAAAGTTGACTTACTACAAAGTTTTTAAAGTTTTTTTGTTATACATATGTTTCACATATACGTACTAGCAAATTTTATAAACGATCATTAGTTTACAGTGAGTGTTTTAACTTTAAAACATCAAAAATCTTCTGTATCATCACATAATTTCTAGTTATTACTATCCCGCGAATTTGAAATTTGCTATATCCAGGATGCTTTCCTTCATAGCTTCCTCTTAGTATAATTAACTTTAAGGAGTGGTAAAGGCAGCGGACGAGGCATACTGTGCAATTTGAAATACTATGTACTAGTTATATAAAACATGACACACAGAGCCATTGCCTGCGCTAATATATTTCAATCGCTCGTAGAGTATCGCGGTCCTGGCCTGCCCGCTGTCTGCCACAACCTTAAAGGTGTTATTTTTTTAGGGTTATTTCTCCACGTTTTAGTAGTCTTTCTGTCAATACAGAACTCGTAAACCATTGTTTAACGATATGCCCACCCTGTTTTGGAACACATCTGTATTTAAATTTGTTAGTTCTTGTAAAGCGTGGGAATCACAAAACATGTCGGATCAAAAACCGCACAAGTTATCACAAAAATCATTGCGAGATCCTATCTACGATCGTCTCGTTTGAGCAATTTTTTATTACCTTGTGTTTTTTTTTTTCGTTATTTTCTAATAACTATAATATCTATAGAGATTGCAAATCAGCCTGAGTATTATATTACGTAAAACCGAATTACTATAAAATCATTTAAAAATTCTTAATAATTACTTTTTAATTAATTTAATTTAAAATTACTTTTTCATGGCAGTGCTGTTAAAAGTAAGTAAATATTATCTAAGAAAATCTAAACTCATCGAATATAAGTAACATTTAATGAACTGACATCAATTAATAAAATCAGCAATTAAGAAACATGGAACGGCTCTGTTACAAACTTGTTTAATTTACGATTCTAACAGGTACACACGTCCTGATTGCTTTATTGTTCAATAGGATGGCATTATGCACAAGACAGTCAACGATTTCTAATCAACAAATTAAACATTAATAATCTTACACATCTTACTCACAAACGACTGTCTGATCCCAAACTAGGCAGAGCCTGTACGATGGTAACCAGCCTGCTGATAAACATACTTATATATTTCTAAAAACATAAATACCCGTATTATAGATAAAAAATTACACCGAGACACAGAACGAATGATCGTGTTCATCACACAATATTTGTACTGGGTGAGAATCAAACCCACGACCTTAGGCTTAGCAGTTAGGATCACCAGGCCAGGCCAGTTATATAATTATGATGAAATTATTGTAAATGTGTTTGAACTGTATATGGTCTTATGGTTATATTACTATTAGAGC